TGATGTTATATCCAATGAAGTCATCTTGTCAGTAACATTCATATTTTCGACCTGTTCTAAGAAGTTGAATACATATTTTACACTTTCATTATACTTTTATTAATCTGCAAATCTTATTATTATTTGTCCCTTGGGTTCCTAGTGAAACATACGGCTTCAGTAGCACATCTCCATTCCAATCTCTTCTCTCCAATCTATTCAACCTGGCTCCACAAATACCAACAACCTCTCATTTCTTCCTCGCACGATCTCCCCCATGTCACACTCACCTCCAACACCAAACTCATCGTTTCCCATCTCGGTTCCACTCGAGTGCCTGACCTGGAGTGTGATGTCCCTGAATAGTCTTCTCAGTGCATGCCCAATCAAATCCATCTCCACTTTCTTCCACTGCACATTTGTTGAGTGATAAGTTCTTGGTTGGTTCGTTTCCAGACCAGAGTGAGTTCCTTGTTGCTGATTCTCATTATTCTCGCCATCTGCGCCTGAGCAACGAGCCAGTGTAGGCGGCAGTTGTTGGTGAATATATGTAGTTTGTTAGAAATGCCCTTCCTGACGCCCAACCAAGTCTCTGAACAATCACATAGAAGCAATGACTTGACCGATTTAGTGTTGAAAATCCGGATGTTCTTCACGCTACATAATGAATGGAGAAGATCTCCACACTGGTTTCAGGTTAATGAATGAAGGCCTGTCTTGCTGTTTTTTCGATCCGGTCTGGTCTTAACATCCTCGTATGTGCCTGCACCACTTGTAGTTGAAACGATGCTGCGTAGACAGGTAGGTAGGTGAAATGGACTACCTCTTTTAAGTTTTTGTTGTTGTTGTTGTTGGTGGTGATGTTGTTTGGGTATCTTCATCACCTCTGTCTTCTCTATATACACTTGAAGTGAGTCGCGTCTTCGCTGCCCTGCCTCTTCTATCAACTTGTTACTTTTCACCTGTAGATCTTCAAGTTTGTGTGACACTAGACACAAGTCATCGTTGGGGAAATCCAAATATTCTAGGATCTTCTCTCCGGTCCAGCCAGCGTATCCCCCTCTTCTCGCTCCTCACAGTTTGTTGCATGATCTAGTCCACTGTAATCAGGAAGATGATGGGTGATAGTAGACGGCAGCCTTGTTTTACTCCCTCTTGTCTTCATTTCGAAGGCATCACTGAGCTTCCTATTGTGAATTACTGTAATAAACTGATTTATACAACTTAGCAATTGGTTCAGTGGTCTGTAACTCCTAGATAATATATTCCGAATCAATATAATGACGACAATTCTTGAAAAAGAATCAAATGTGACATTACTCAGAGTTCGAATGAGTTTTTACTAGTCGAGTAAAACCAATTCGGATGTCACAAGAAATATTGAACAGTGGCATCGATATAGATCAATACACAATATTGTGAACTAAAAAAAGTGGGAAAATAAGAATCATTGGATTCGGACCAAGTGACTAAATGGTGATGTTCTCGCAACGAAACCTCAAGGTCATAGGTTCTAGCCGTGTCGAAGTCGTGGGTGTGTATCGCTGACGAATACCATGCTAGGATAAGATAGCCATCAAGTACTTCCATGTTTTCAATGGTTCTTTAACTGATATAATGTATTTTTGTTCACTTGATGAGTTTTATCCCTATCACTTCAATAAACACAATCATTACGTGTGTGTGTATATGTGCTTTCGCAGCTTTTCGCTGTCATCAGTAGTGTCACAACTGGAAGTATAGTTGAGACTGATGAAATCAAGTTCAAAAATGAAATTAAAACACACTTTAGAACTTTATGTACATGTATTCAGTAGACAATGAGCCACAACCCCTATTGTGTGGAGTTATTGATACTATCTTCCTGTCCTCATTTGTCGCTTTGCTCATCATATGTTTTGTTTTACATTAATAAGGAAGTAAAGCTGTGACACGCTGACAATTATGATGATGTCTAGTATGATGACGAAACGTCTGCCACCTAGAAGTTCAGCTGAAAGAGAACAAGTTATTGTAAGCATTGAAATTGTCAGCTATGAATATTTGCCACATATTTTGAATTTATATCTTAAACTGTTTGTTATCTTGTATTCTATGACGCTGACTGAAAAGATGAAGAATTTTCATTCGAAACTATTCAAGCTGATACGTAGATTTGCAGCCAACCAGATCAGAGTGATCTATGCACACTGGACAGTCATTACTGATGTTCGAGTTTAATCCATCTCATCAGTGGTATGCACAGATTAGTTCAGTTTATAGAGGTGAATTATGTCAAATTATCTGAATCTGACTGACTAACTGATCTTGGCCAGATGGGGAAGTTCCCAACAACAGTCTTGTTGACATTATAGTTAGGTAGTTGAAAAACTACTACTCAGGTGTTAGAAATGTTAACCATGTGCGGTTTGTAAGTTATTTGGAAATTGATCAGCCTGTGGTGCAGGTTATCTTTTGTATATAGCTCCGTTGAATGAGTTCGGTTGTCTTGTGATGAATGACTCAATTTACCAGCTCGGAGAAGGTAATAGACCCAAGAAATAACAACAGACACGTATCGATGGATAAAACATACTAGTTATTACCTTGTTACTCAATAAATAACTTTCCAGTGTACAAAATGTTTTTGAACAAGAAGCCAAAATAAGTTAGATTTGATGTTGAGGAAAACAACATTTTTCCTAGATTCAGGCAATTAAACAAGCCCTTTTGATATATATATATATATATATATATATATATATATATATATATATATATATATATATATACCTTTATTTGCTTCATTAACTCACCTCAGAGGACAAAGCAGGTGAATACAAAGGCAAATGGTTTTCACGTCGAGTAATCAACTCCTGAAACTGGCGCATGAAAGAAATACTGTCCGCGATGTCAATTTACTCATTCTAAATACGACTAGACAAGTACAGAAATCTACTGGAAAGGTATTAACACAGGGTGATAGCTTTCATTCTTCAAACTACAGTTATGAAATACAGTTTTAATCCTTTCTCCTTCTTTATGATATAGGCAGTAGGATTTTCGATACCTCTGAAACAGATAATGTGTCATATCTATTGGGTCTACCTGTTGTTGATTTGATGGACAAAGATTTAGTCATCATTTTGACAAACTAAGATAGCTGTAGTTTGGCAGACTAGTATTGATACTGGGCGATGATTGAAGGTGAAATGGAAATTTCAACTGTGGCCGGACTCGAACCAGCGACCACTGGGTATTCAACCCGGTGTTCTACCAAATGAGCTACGAAGTTCAACTGCCACCGGAAACCCAATGATCACTGGTTCAAATCCGGCGGCAATCCAGATTTTCATCTCGCCTTTAATCATCACCTAGTATCAAAAATTTAGTCATTAATCTTTCTGCTTATTAAGTTGGTTTTCAGATATTGTAGCTTGAAGACAAAGTTTATCTGAACAATATAATGTATTTCCGCGAAACACTTGTCACATTCTGATCATACATTTATTTGTTAAGTCAGTTTACATATGAAACCGAAGATTGAATGTGAGGACGAATAGAACACTCTTGATAATAGGCGATTGAAATTAAGAAAGATAAGGAAAGGAGGATGAAGTATTTATTCCTAATATTGGTAAGAAAACAAAGTTTACCAAGGTAGGTGTAGTGTAAGTACAAATTGTTTTCATACGCATAAAGGTGATTTCAACATGTCAGCGACTATCGCTGTTTAATACTATTGTGATTCTAAGCGACTGCATACATAGCAATAGCTGAGCTTTTCTCTAAGTTTCTTATCTTATTAGGATCTACTAATCTTGGTTCAGCTAAGTTTTTAAGCTCAAAAAGGCTAATTAATTCTGGCCGACTACTTCAATTGATGAATTTCAACCAGAATTCATTCTAAGGTATTTCGTAAACTAAATTATTCCACCTAACTAACTATATGACAACGCTACATGCCAAGTTATACACAATGAAAAGCTGCTCAGTTGCGCCTTTGAAGTGTAGACAGGAAGGAGCAAGACAAAGCTGCTTACTATCACCCATGATCTTCCTGACTGTGGTCGACTGGATCGTGCAACAAACTGTGAGGAGCGAGAAGATGGGCACACGCTGGACTGATGAAAGGAGCCCCGAAGGTTTGGATTTCGCCGGTGATTTACCTCTTATGTGGCACAAACTTGAAGATCTACAGGCAAAAACTAACAAGTTGACAGAAGAAGCAGTGAAACGAGACTTCAAGTGAATATAGAGAAGACAGAGGTGATGAAGATACCCAGTCAACAACGGCATCAACAACAACCACCAGTCAACATCAACGGGAGAAATTTAAAGGAAGTAGTCTATTTCACCTACCTACCTGTCTACGCAGCATCTTTTCAACTACAGGCGGCACAGACAAGGATGTCAAAACCTGAAATCAGCGTAAGATTTACTGTACTCATCACAAGGAACAAGATCCGGATTTTCAACACTAAATCGGTCAAGTCATTGCTTCTATGTGATTGTTCAGAGACTTGGTTGGGCGTCAGGAAGGGCATTTCTAACAAACTACATATATTCACCAACAACTGCCGCCTACACTGGCTCGTTGCTCAGGCGCAGATGGCGAGAATAATGAGAATCAGCAACAAGGAACTCACTCTGGTCTGGAAACGAACCAACCAAGAACTTATCACTCAACAAATATGCAGTGGAAGAAAGTGGAGATGGATTGGATTGGGCATGCACTGAGAAGACCATTCAGGGACATCACACTCCAGGTCAGGCACTCGAGTGGAACCGAGATGGGAAACGATGAGTTTGGTGTTGGAGGTGAGTGTGACATGGAGTAGATCGTGGGAGGAAGAAATGAGAGGTTGTGGGTATTTGTGGAGCCAGGTTGAATAGATTGGAATGGAGACGTGCTACTGAAGCCGTATGTTTCACTAGGAACCCAAGGGACAAATAGTAATAATAATAGTAATTTTAAACAGTAAAATGTTACTGATGATATAAAAAAACAAATGAAATTAGTAATCAATCGAGAAAATTACCTGAGTTGTAAAGAAAACATCATTTTCAATTTGTTTTTCATCTCCTTCATCTTTACACTGTAAATCAGATAAAACTTTATCAAAATTATCTTCACATTGAGATTTCATTTTTATAAATGTTTTACAGTTTTGAATTGGATGTAATTGAGAAATTTTATATGGAATATTAGGTAATAATTTATTATTTGTAGGTAAATAATATGAAGATGATACATTGATTGTTTGTAATGATTTATTCGTTGATGATTCTGATCGACTAATAGACGTTTTATGATCTACTATTGTCGTCAATTCATTCAATATTTGATCCACATTACATTTAATCATTTTTGGGCCTTCATTTAAACTTGATTCATCTAATCTATAAATGTTATAATAGAAATGAAGAAGAAGAAAATTGACATAAGATTATATTTTAAGGGAGTTGTGGGGATTTGAAAGTATTTCAAGTTGTTATTCATTGTAGACTGACATCAGTTGGAGGAACAATGGAAACCTGGAAGTACTGGACAGCTGCTTCGTTCTAGTATGGGACTTCTCAGAGGTGCGCACTCATGGTCCCGCCGGGGATCGAGCCCGCGAACTGCAGGTTCCGTGGCCAGCACATCATCAACGAGCCACTGGCCCACAATCCAATCGTCCATATTTCTAACTCCTGTTAGCTCACAATATAGCGCAACCGACACCCAATGTCATCGTTGAGTAACTGCCCTCACGATCATCTGGCTTTGCCCCCACCGGTCACGACTTCTCATTGCAACTTCGGGAATACTTCTCGAAGTTGGTCACCAATGAGCACCAGTTCAATTGAATCTCGATGGAGTTGTGGAGATTTGGAAATATTTCAAGTTGTTATTCATCGTAGACTGACATCAGTTGGAGGAACAATGGAAACCTGGGAGTACTGGACAGCGCTATATCGTGAGCTAACAGCACTTGGAAATATGGAGGATTAGATTGTGACCCAGTGGCTCAATGGTAACGCGCTAGCCAAGGAACCTGAAGTTCGCGGGTTGAATCCCCGGCGGGACCATGAGTACGCACCTCTGAGAAGTCTCATACTAGGACGACACAGCTATTTAGTGCCCCAGATTTCCATTGTTCCTCCAACTGATGTCAGTCTACGATGAATAACAACTTGAAATTAGACTATATACATGTCATAAACTGAAAACATGACTGACGATGTCATTGGAAGGGTTTCACTTTATATGAGATATTTCCGTGATATAGTTATTATATATGAAAAGCCTGATGATGCGATGTCTCTGGCAAAGAAGATGAACACAGCTGAAAATCACACTAACCTTACTTGTGAACAAGAGACGAACAACCAGCTACCGTTCCTAGACATATTACTCAGTTAACAGGAGGATGGCTAGTTCAAGAGGTCAACTTATAGCAAACCTACATGGACAGGGCAATATCTTAATTTCCATAGCTGTTATCCAGTTGATGCTTATTCAGTACGATAAACAGCATCTTCACCAATCATACCAAGGAGGAAGAAATCAATTTACTGACAACAAGACTGATACATAGAGGATACTCGTTGAAATTTATCGACAGGGCCAAAAGTTACATTACATTGGAAAGTACACAGTGTTCCATTGCTAAGGCAAATGTCTACATCACATTACCATTTAGAGGTGACTCTCATATAGGATTGTTGTGAGGAAACGGCTTATATCTGCTTTCTATTAAACATATTATGCAGTCAAGGTCATCACTGTAGCGATGAAAAAGTCCACGTTACAGCACAAATCAAAACAGCATATAAACGATAACATCACATCCCATTGTATTTATCAATTTACATGTATGTATGGACACAGACACATGGGGACGAGTAATCGTGATGGACAGTTAAGGATGGTTGAACATGTACCTAAGTGGCTTCGAAAACAAATGACCACAACGGATCCGATCAGTGCACTAAACATATTCTAGAAACTAACCATAAGATAGACACGAAAACAGCCTTTAAAGTATTGCATAAAAGTGGTCAGTGTCGAGTGCTTAAACTTACTGAGGCTTCCGCTATCCGTATATCTCAACCCCCTTTATGTATAGTAATGATGGGTAGTGGCTAGCAGTGGAATCTAGGATGCGCATTTCTTCCCATTTGTAACTTGCCAGCTGGATATACCTGCCTCCAAGTGACTGATATTGTCCCCACCGGGACTCGGACCCGGGAGCGACCGCTTCAAATGTCATAGCGTTATCCACTACACCATCGAGCTGCGGTAGACACTTCTTGTGCGACGTGTATAGGTTTAGTGTTATTGCTTGTAACACACCGTTGTTGACTGGACCGAATTGATCAGTCTCTGTTGGCATATAGGCTCCTAATCGATGCCTCGATATCGTCTGTCTTTTAATTATGTATAGTACTGATGGGCAGTGGCTAGCAGTGGAATGGAGGATGCGCATTTTGTCCTACTTGGGACTCGTCAGCTGGATGCACCTGCCTCCCAGTGAGTGATGTTGTTCCCACCGGGACTCGGACTCGAGACGAGTCCCAAATAGGACGAAATGCGCATCCTCGATTCCACTGCTAGCCACTGCCCATCAGTACTATCATCGGAAATTGTTTATAGGATTATAGGAAACAAACAAAAAAAAGTATAAACTATGTTAGGGGAATTACTATCAAGGTAGAATTAGACATTGAATGTAGTGCTGGATTTTCAGAGCTTCTGGTGTGTGTTAAGTTGGGAAATACTCACTCACCTTCAAAATGTTTGGCTTCACTTTATAAATAACTTTGAAAGAAGACTCTAGTGGAGTATAGTGATGAAATATAACCAAATACTCAAAAAATATAAGCTGTTGACACCTATACACAATCTTTTAGACAACCATCCAGGATAGTGTTCAGAGATGAGCTTGGATAGAACACACATTGTGCGGCCTATGTAACCAGCTGCACAAGAGCAGATGAATTGGTGAATACACATGAAGGCGGCCTAAATCAGTAGTTTATCCTTTACACACTCTGGAATCAGATGTTGACTTAAAAAAACAATCCCAACCTGACTGGAAAAGAAGGCCTTCTTCAGTGTTTTGCTCGATCAATCCTTCATTATCTCAGTCATTGTATCAGCCTTGAATCCAATATTCATAAACGATGTCTTCTTTGGAACCCGCAGAAGTTTCTTCTACTTCTCTCAATGAATCTTTAAGGATGACCATTTTTGATTAACACACTTCGAAGTATTTCCAGCTCCTCATATACTGCATCATCCGTAGAAATTCTTTTAATTCGTGCGCATAATGAATATACTAGATTTCTTTTTCTGTCTAACGTAACTTACCTTTGAAAATGAGTTAATTGACTATTTCAGGTTTGTTCTCTGTAAATCTATCTCTTTAAAGAAGCATCATGTCTTCTTTTCAATAGATCGTCAAGGAAGTGGAATTCTGACTTATCTTCAATTTCCATAGTAAATTTAATTGACATCCACTGAACTTCCGTATATCTTCCTTACAGATGATGAACTTGTCCACCATATACCTCTTGTATAGATGGGACTGGTCAATCAGTGGATACGCTTAAATTTACCAATAAATTCATAAGAAATCGAAAGAAAAATATTACCAGTAGTAGTAGTAATAATAATATGGATGTTGTTAATAATCATTCTACTACTAATAGTAATAATGGTGACAGGGTTGAGAGAGAATTCAAAACCTCTGCGATGTTACCACACAAGGAAGGCACCTCAGAAGCATTACAATGAATTCTCAATAACTCTGGCTGGGATTAAAGTGGCATTTAAACCAACAAACTACCTTAGAAACAAGCTTTGTGGGTTATAAGACGCTATCGATACAGTTAAGTAAAATAATTTGGTTTACCAAATCCCTTACAAGGATTCTGAGGTCAAGTACATAGGTCAAAGTAGTCGACCAGCAAGGGTCGATTAGAATAACAAAGTACAAAAACTTAGCTAAATCAAGATGAGTAGATCGTAATAAGATAAGAAATTTAGAGAAGAGTTCGGCTATAGCTCTGTACACAATCACACAGTCGGGTGAGATAGAGTGACAGTGTTAAAAACTCAACTTAGATGAGTGAATGGAGGGAGAGATTGATAACCGACTGAATCTTTGTTAAACGAATCAACATGAAATACATGCAGTAATAGGAATGATTCCTTATCTGTTCAAGATATATGGAAGATTTTACTAACGTTGTATTGTCACAAAGAAGGAGAGCAGATTAGGACTATATGAACTCTGTTACAAAGTTGTGGAGTTACCTTACTTGATATGAATTGTTTCTGAAACATTATCCAGTACGTGATACTGTTCTTTCACTGTATAATATTTATAATAAACCAAATAAAATGGAATGTTTCAAATTTTCTTTCTCAAATGAATATATAACAGAAACTGTATTCGAGTGAGTAAAATACCTCAGAAGTAATCAATCAGGATAGTATTAAACTTACTTATGCCTAACAATTATTGGTTTAACATTTGAATAGAATGGTAATCTCTGTTTACTTCTTAGTAAAGTACTTCTATTTCTCTCTTGTAATCTTGGATTGAATACTTCTATGCTACTAACAGGAGTGATTTGATAATCTCTAGCATTTTCATGATATAATGTTAGCGGTAATTTTACTGAATAATTCTTTAACGATTCATTATTTCCAGTTGAAATATCATTTTTCACCTTGAATAGATTTGAGTTATTAGCTGAACTACGATATACCTTGATATTTAATTGTTTAACTAATAAACGTTCAAGAAGTGGAGGAATCTGTGAAGATTTATTAACAACAGGATTGTTATAAACTATAACTTCTTTTAACTTTGGCCATACAGCAACTGGGAGTAGATGTTCTTCAAAAGATATCTTTAAAAAAGATATATTATTATTATTATTATTATTTATTATAATAAAGGAGGAAATATTTTTAAAGAATAAATAAATTAGTCATTGTTAGAATTCATTTTGTGACGGCTGTGAATGGAATCAAGGAGATATGTTTCGTCCAACATGGGACTCATCAGCTGAATCTGTCTGCATCCAAGTGAATGATGCTCTTACTATTGGTACAGGAAACTAACACTCATCACTTAAAACGCTACAGCGTTATCGAATCGACTATCCAATTTTTGTGTGTTCCTAATAATTTGATTGACCTCTGTAGATATATGGACTCTTATGAGAATACTAACCACCATCAAGATAATGAATATCGTGGTAATATCAAGGTATTCATACAATGAGTTAATACCCCAACAGAGGTTGATCAATTTGATCCGGTATCACAATAGCAAATTAAAAGTACCAAAAAACTGATTAACAGTGACTAACAGTGATACAGTATTATTAACTAGATGACGTTTTGAGCATAAGTTATTGATCATAGTCATGTTAATGTAATAACACCACTTTTGACATCTAATTTTTAGTTTCCATATAACAAGTCTCTACACTAAAATATCAATCAATATGACCCTGGATGCAGTCAGAAATCAATTAAATATTGACTCAGACATTACTCACAGAACTAAGGTATCTATTGATGAGATCATATTAAGCCTGACCTCCACAGTCTTCAAGTTTCAGGACAATACATATACACAGAGAGAACGAGTTGCAATAGGATCACCAATATCTCCAATCGTTGTAGATATATTTATGGATAGTTGAGACAACATGGCTTTATAAACTTTTAGTCCTGCACCTGACGATATGTGGATGACACATTCACTGTATTGAAATCGGAACATATCGATAATTTACTCACACAGATATAAACTCAGTAGTAGGCGCAATCCAAATCACGACGAGGTAGAAAATGAACACAAAGAGAATTCTTCATGAGGGATTGCAGGATAAAATGAAGAAGTGGTTTGGACACTACCGTCTACAGGAAATCGGCACATTTCAATAGGTATCTAAACTTCAAGTCATCTCATCCAATGTCAGTTAAGGTAGGTTTACTCAAATGTCTAAATGACCTAGAAAACTGACTAGTCAGTGCATGGGCCTAAACAACGAACTGAAACACATCAAATAAGCACTAATAGTTAAAAATTATGCTCTACAGTTTATTAAGAAATTCGTACGAACGCATAAGAAACGAAATAATAACAGTAACATGAATGAGTACGAATAACAGTGACAACACAAGTAGAAAGGAGTTCACAGCCTGCATTGTGTTACTCTATAAAGAAGATACATCAGGAACTTTAAGTAGAATTCTCCACAAAGCTGGAATTATGGTGGCATTTAAACCTATAAATTCACTCAATGAAAAGCTTTGTCAGCTGGCTTGAAAATTCAACTGAACCAGTTAAGTAAAATAATTCAATCTATGAGATTTTATGTGATGACTGAGAGGTCAAGTACGCAGATCAAAGTAGCCAGTCGGGGTCAGTTAGATTAGCGAAATATAGGAACTTAGCTAAATGTAGAATGACAGACAGCATTGGGATGAATAATCTGGAGAAACACTCGGCTATTGGAATGTATGCATTTATATATAATCACACAATAGGCTGTATGGGATCAAACCACAGTACTCAAGTCCAATATAATTAGGTGCAGAGAGAGGGATAGGTTGACTACACTTATAAAAGTAAATCACCTACTGAAATGGTTTGCTGATTTTGCAAACAAACAAAACTGCTTATCTGGCTACAACCTTTTATTTACCCTCTTAAAAGTGAACGCGTCAACTTACCCAGCTACATTTCAGTACCTTTCATCATCATCAATGTCAACATGGGACCAGTCATTACTGGGTAACGGTCCCAGTTGCCACATCTCATATCACCACATCAAGTAAAAAGGTAGTGAAGTGGAAGATGAAGATAAGAAAATTTAGCCAACGGAAATATCAAGTGCTCAAAGAGAGAAATGAAGAATGAGAAAGTGGTGAGATTCAGTATAGCATTAAGAGGAGAATGATGAGTGTAAAAATCTGCAACACTGACATCACTTCTGAGCCATTCGATCACCTAGATTCCTCTTGTCTCACAGACCACAACCACCTAATCTGCATCGCCCCACATTCCTCAAACCAACAGTCTAATACTTCATGAACTGGTGCCATGTTTACTCTGGCCACCTCAGGCATTTTTCAGTCTCCAACTATTTCGGCCAACATTTTGTGATGAGAAGATCGGAGACTAGGCATACATAACACATGTCGAAGCCAACCATCTCAGTCGATGAAGGTTCACAACCTCGTCAACCGACTTACCTCTACTCCTTAAAACTCTACATCTGATCCTGACTTCTGTGTTACTCACATGGTGACACCACGAAATACGGCGTATACTATGAAGCCTTCTCATGTCTTCCACCTTCAATGGTCATGTTTCACAGCCATATAGCATAAATCTTATTATCAGAGGCTCGCAATCACAAATCGTTAATTATCTTCAATTTTTTCTAAAATTGAGTATGCTAATTGAAATCTATCACAAACTACTCAATATAAATAAGTATTTATGAGTAAATGGATTTGAAGAATAAACACTTCTCACAGAGAGTTTTTCAATCAGATAAGAACTTATTCAAAAGTAAAATATCAGTTAATGAAATCAAACAGATGAATAATTAGATCTCTTACCTTGTTATGAGATAAATCTATACATTGAAGAGATGGAAATGGTGGTGGTACATTATTCAATGTTATATTAGATCTCAGTTGATCACTTGATAAAGTGTATTCTCTTTCTATTCTAGCATATTGATTAAGACTACTAACTTTTTCATTATTTCTTAAGTTTGATTTCTTCATAGGAAAGTTAACATGTAAATCACTTTTCATATGTGTACTCCTTTTTCTAGTCATTTGTTTAAATTTTATTCTTCTCTGTTGAGTAAATGGAAGTAATTTGTTTAAATTATTTAATCCAATACATTCATCCACTATACATACTCTTGGAGCTGATGGATTACGATATTCATCAAGAAATATAAAATTATCTGAAAAGATACAAACATTTTACTAAGTATATATTCAAGATGGTTATTTATTTGTTAATTTTATCGGGAAAAGTTATCGAAAGTCGAACATAAGGAAATGAAGACACTTAACTATGACGTTGAGTGTTGGTTACACTATATCGTAAACTGACAGAGGTAGAAAATATAAACCGATCGATTGAGACCCAGTGACTCAATAGTAACCTGAGGGGTATGGGTTCGATCCTTGGTGAGGTGGGGTCATGGGTGCGCACTGCTGAGTTCCATGCTAGGATGAAACACGTGTCATGTGCTTCCAGGTTTCTAATATTCCTTCATCTGATATCAGTCCATTATGACTACTAACTTGATATCATGACAGGAGTTTTGAATTATTTGTCAGACTTTCGACTAGATCATTTGATGATGGAATCGATTGGTCTCTATGTAGCCTATTGGCTGGTGAGTGGATGACTCCATATTGCAGGTATTTTCAGTTTGATATCAACGTTCGATAGTGGCTAGAAGAAGAATCCAGAACGCCAACATCGTCCCATTTGGGACTTTCCAGCTGGATGTACCTCCCTTCCAGTGAGAAATGCTGATCCCATTAACATTTGAACTGGGAACCGATCACTTCGGACGCCAGAGAGTTATCCACTTGGTCACCTCTCACGCAGCGCGTATAGTTTATATAATGTTGTTTGTAAATATTCTATGCCTCTCTAAATGTTTCTGAATAGCAGTCAAAAATGTTTCCAGCATTCTATTTTATACAGACAATATAGAGACATCCGCACACGAGCTCATACGCTAATTGAGGTCGGTCAATCCGGTCGAATCAACGATGGGATGATACAAGCAAAATTATGTAAAACTGTACGCATTGCAGTGTTAGAGCCTACGGTCAGATATCCGGGGAGCTTTACTCGTTGAGTGGTGTCCTTCGAGACTGTCCACTCTCTCCATTCTTATTTAATTTTATTAAAGATATTGTTATGGAGATCTTCCTCTCGTCACCTGACTACATAGACCTTGACCTAATCGCAGGAGAATTTTCATTAGGCCTAGAATACGCAGATGAGATAGTCCTGTTAGGTGAAGATGCTGACAAGAAGCACAGTCTTTTCAACACGTTGCGTGGCAATGTGAGAATGTTTGGAATGTGTTTCTCACCACCCAAATGCAAATTGATGCTCCAGGATAGGTCTTCAGCGCTGCCCCACGGCGGCTAATAATACAGAGCGTAGTGATTAAGTGTGTTGACCACTTAACTTACCTGGAAAGTACAGTGAGATCAGCCCTACCCTGGTGGATCATTGTCCGACGAAACGCCGGCAAGGATATAAAAGGTTCGACTGGCTTTTGTCAACTTACACCACCTGTGGCACCACTATGATATCCGATTGTCTATTAAGGATTTCATGCACTGGCACAACAGTCCATCCTGTTATGCTGTATGGCTGTGAAACATGACCATTGAAGGTGGAAGACATGAGAAGGCTTCATAGTATACGCCGTATTTCGTGGTGTCACCATGTGAGTAACACAGAAGTCAGGATCAGATGTAGAGTTTTAAGGAGTAGAGGTAAGTCGGTTGACGAGGTTGTGAACCTTCATCGACTGAGATGGTTGGCTTCGACATGTGTTACGCATGCCTAGTCGCCGGTCTTCTCATCACACAATGTTGGCCGAAATAGTTGGAGACTGAAAAATGCCTGAGGTGGCCAGAGTAAACATGGCACCAGTTCATGAAGTATTAGACTGTTGGTTTGAGGAATGTGGGGCGATGCAGATTAGGTGGTTGTGGTCTGTGAGACAAGAGGAATCTAGGTGATCGAATGGCTCAGAAGTGATGTCAGTGTTGCAGATGTTTACACTCATCATTCTCCTCTTAATGCTATACTGAATCTCACCACTTTCTCATTCTTCGTTTCTCTCTTTTAGCGCTTGGTATTTCTATAGACTGAATTTTTTTTTCTTCATGTTCCACTTCACTACCTTTTTACTTGATGTGGTGATATGAGATGTGGCAACTGGGACCGTTACACAGTAATGACTTGTCCCATGTTGATATATGATGATGATGATGATGATGTACGCATTGCACCAGAAGTCGCTATTGTAACTTAGTGGCCTAGTGGATGAGGTATTGGTGTTCAAAGCAACTCGTCCCAGGTTCCAGTTCTGTCTAGATAGTTCAAGTTCTTTTACAAAAATCGTCTATCTGGTCTCCTAGAAGATAATATGAATGTTGAATATTTATTAAAAGTCTACAATTTTCTTCAATTACTTATTTTCAAGCTATCATCCTAATTACATGTCATCTTATAGTGTAGAACAACTCACTCTCTTAGTTATATTTTCCACAAATTTTAAGTTAGAAATGAAATGAAAGATTTAATTTGGCGTTCTATAGGGGTTCAGTGTTTCTTTAAAGTTGGTATTCATCATGGACTGACATCAGTTGGAGAAATATTGGAAACCTGGAAACAGTGGACATCTGCCTCGTCCTAGTATGGGACTGCTCAGCAGTGCGCACTCACTACCTCCTACCACAGGCATTGAGCCCATCACCTTCAGATTCCTTGGCCAGCACGTTACCATTGAACCACTGAGTCGGAATCCAGCGGTCCATATTTTCTACCTCTGTCAATTCATGGTATAGCGCAACTATCACTCAATGTCATCGTTAATTATTTTCCTTCACGTGCACCAGGTTTGACCTACCGGTCATGACTTTTGATTGGAACTTCAGAAATCACCTCTTGAAGTTAGTCATCAATTAGCAATAGATCATGGGTCATATGTTTACACAGCTGAGAAGTAGCAGTTTAGGATGAAACACTTGTCTAGTGTTCCCAGTTTTCCAATGTTCCCTCAACAGATGTCATTCCATGAATAAATGAAAGATTTGTCAATCTACACAGTTCAAGTTTTCCACTAAACAGTATAGTTCAGCAGTGTAAAACGCTTACGGGATAATAATAAAATTGTTTTTCTTTAGATTAGAAAATGATTCTAGTTTTGTTATCATGAACTGAAAATGGTTGCCTTCATAAGATCTTAGTGATTCTGACTAATACGCTGAGAGTTTAGGCTGGTAGGTCGAATAACAGCAGAAAGTATGGTAAACGAACATCATAAAGCAGTATTGAAAAAAGATAATTGTTTTTATATGATACCGTCGTTGATTGGACCAAATTGATCAGTCTCTATTGGCATATGGGCTCTTGTGTGGATGCCTCGATATTGCCAATGTTCTAATGATGGATCGTGGCTAGCAGTGGAATCCAGGATGCATATTTCGTCCTATTTGGAATTCGTCAGCTGAATTTACCTGCTTCCTAGTGAGTGGTTTTGTTCCAACGTAGTGCAGTGGATAACGCGCTGGCGTTTGAAGAGATCGCTCCCGAATCTCGGCGGGAACAACATCACTCACTGGGAAGCAGGCACATCCACTTGACGAGTCCCGAATGGGAGGAAATGTGCATCCTGGATACCACTGCTACCCACGATTCATCATTAACATAATTAGAACGCTGGCAACATCGAGGCATCCGCACAAGAGCCCATATGCCAATAGAGACTGATCAGTTCGGTTCAATCAATGACGGTATCATATAAAAACAATTGTACTAAAACTATACCTGTCACACAGGAGGTGACTATCGTGGCTCAGTGGTGTGGTGGATTACGCGCTGGCGTTTGGAGCGATCGCCCCCGAGTCCGAATCCCGGTGAGAACAACACCAGTCAGTAGGAAGCAGATACATCCAGCTGACGAGTCCCAAATGGGACGAAATGCGCATCCTGGATTCCACTGCTAGTTACGATCCATCATTAATATTGAAAAAAGAGTTAGCACGAAACTTACTTTACTACAACCTAGACGTCTATTATGTACTTTCTACCTAAAGTTAATAGGTCCGATGTAACATTGAAAGTTATAATGTTATTGATAAATTCATCATATCATAAATTAGCCTGATGATTACACAAAGAGTTGGAACCTATAATTTCCTGAACTGGTTTATATAAAGATTTTAGATAATCTTATGGTGGCATATAATGCTTATTGTTTGCTTACACAATCATTACAGTGAGTCAGATAAACTTAGTTATTCACCAATAATTTTAACTTTACTGTTTAACAGGAAGTGATTTGCAAGAACTATTTTTCAACTTAACTACTAACTTTACCTAGAAATATATGAAGTAGCCATGGGTTCGCCATTCAGACCAGTCTTTATTGATATCATCATGACTTACCTTGAACAAATGCGTATAAAACCACTGATTTAGGTAAAGAAATATCATCAAAGGCATACTGATGATACGTTCACTTCTTGTAGTAATATAAATTATGCATCCTAGACATTAGAAAAACTCCAGTGATGTTCATGTTAACATGGAGTTCAAATATGATAAAGTGTTGACAAGAATTGGGAAAAGGATTAAATGAGCATTGTTACACCAGTCTTGGTCTCACTGTCCTACTCATCGTCTTCAACTGCATTTAAAAAATACATTCGATCATAGGAAAGAAGGAATGAGATGGGGGTAATCATCAGATTTCCAAAGTTTACTAGCATACTATTCAGACATTTAATACATACAGAAAATACATTTGGAGTTGATTAAGCCTTCAAATTCTGGAATATACACAAAACAACCAATCTACCAGATTTTGAAGACGCAACTGCCAGTAAAAATAATGTCCAGCCTGGGATTCAAATCCACTCAGTTCTTCAGTTGGACACGTTACTGTTGAGTTATTTGGATCGCGAATAACCTCTTGTAAGACTGGATTAGACACACTGACTGGTCACTACACAGTAACCAACTCCTTGTTGTCTAGTCCTAAGTGTTAATCGAATTCTACCGATCATTTTACGATATGGTCACCAGGTTAGGAGATTCACCATAGCCACAGGTGTACTGAGAGAGATGTTAGTTGATTGGAGGCAGTCGGCAGGAAGTCCTAGACCTAGGTTTTATGCTTATTGGAACTCGTCAGCAAGATATATCTGCAACCCTGATGGGACTGATATTCAGCCTGTAATTCGAACCAGTGTCACCTATTCATTCTCTCCAATACATGAATTTGTTATATAACTGCTTCCTTTCCTTCATAAATCCAACATTTTCTACTGTTTACTATGCTTATACAAATCCTATTTCTTTCTTATATTTGTATTTCCTTGATCTGTTGGCGTACTGTGAATTTTCGACCTGGTCAATAACTGGTAATATATTGATCATGATGAGAACCAATTAACATTAATCAAAGGGTATCAAGATGCTGAGTCACTTAGCTTGGTAGGATTATTGAGTAATGACTGATAGAATTCGGTTAATATACAGAACTAGACAACATGAAATTGATTGCTGTCTAGTGACCCATCAGTTTATCTCATCCAGTCCTAAAAAAGGTCAACCGATAAACGACTGGCTCAGTGTTGATGCTAGTTCGAATCTAAGCGAAAAAATAACTTCCGATGAGGTCGTAGTTACGCTTCGGTGACGAGTTACAACAAGCAAGAAGCCTAGTTTGAGCAGAGTTTTCTGCCGATTACCTTCAACCTACTGAAATCCTGTATTCCTTGTGATCGAATGATACAAAGTTTTATAGGATCATATAAGTTTAGTCACATAGATTGTTTATTCATTTTTGATATGACAGATAAGAATAAATTTTGACAAAAATTTCATTTAATAAGTAATATTCCATCATTTCACTTTAATTCAGAAGTACAAAAATATTACAGAATACAAGTTATACCCATTTAATTTGCTTACAAATGAGTGACATGTGCTAGTAAGACAATGAAACGTTTGCGAAATAAAAACCGGGACAAGAGAACAATCCACTGTGAAATATAAATATTTGCCGAGCAGTGTATACAATTTTCATATTTCTAAAGATAATAAAAGGTTACAATTTATCGATATGCTTGTAAGTCTCCGTTATATTATTCGATCGAATTGTCCGACCTGATGAGTCCCAAATAGGACGAAACGTGCGTCCTGGATTCTTTTACTAGCCACAACCAACCGAATGATCATACTAAACACTCAGGCAATATCGAGGCATCCGCGTAGGTGCCAATATGACAATAGAGGTTGGACAGTAAAACACTGGAGAATTACGGGTATATGAGTGAATGGTAAAAATTACTACCTGTTGTAGAAGAAGTGGCTATCGTTCCTCGGTGGCATAGTAGATAACGCCATGGCGTTTGAAGCGATGAGCATGAGGTTCGAGTCTCAGTGAGAACGACATCACTCCACACTGGGGTGCAGGTACATCCAGCTGACGAGTGAGTCCCTGCACTTCATTGCACTCCACTCAGCATAAAGTGTGAACAACATACGGATTTTCAACATTAATGTCAGTCAAGTAAGTCAGTGCTTCTGTGTGATGGTTGAGAGACTTGGCGCCTTACGAAAAGCATTCCCAACAAACTGCACATATACATCACATCAACAGCTGACGCCTACACTCACTCGATACTCACAGTGAAGATGGCGAGAATAATAAGCATGAGTAAGGAGGAAGTGTGACTGTTGACGAACCAACCAAGAACCCACCACTCAACAAATATGCAGTAGAAGAATGTGGAGGTAAATTGGACTGAACATATACTGAGAAGACAGTTTGGAGACACCATGTGCCAGGTTCTGGAGTGGAACCCAGATGGGAAACGACGAGTTGGGCGTTGGAGCCGTGGGTGACACGGCTGAGATCGTGTAGGGAAGAAACGAAAGATTGCAAAGAAGATAGTGGAATGGCGACGTGCTACTGAAGCCCTATATTTCACTAGGAACTGAAGGGGAAAATAATAAAAAATTATAATAGTAATAATAGTATTCTTCATAGACTGACATCATTTGGGACTCATTGGAAATGTGGTAACAGTGAACAACTGTTTCGTTTTAATACAGAACTGTGCAGTGATGCACGTCGTCAACCTCGTCAGGGATAGAAACTAATACCACCATATCTATTGGCCAGCACGTTACCACTCAACCATTGGGTTACAATTCAGTAGTTCCCCTTTTTTTCTACTTCTGTCAATTCATGATAAATCATCACTATCGCCCAATGCCATCCATTAATCATTCAGAGATGAGTGTTTTGTCAATAGAAATTTATCTGAACCTGGGATCAAAACCAAGTTCCAGTGTGATTTGAATAACCAGGTAGTCTCATAAAGTGAAAACACAATAAGCATGGCTTACAGTGGAGTATACATACACCTTTACCAAGTTAAGTTGCCTTATTATCATTATTTTTATCCTAGCGTAAGGGAATTATTGAACTTAACTTTCTAACTAGAGATTTCTGTCTCATCTGAGTAGATTAGTGATGAAGTTTTCTGATTCTAATACTGTTTAACATAGTAATCGTAGATAGTGGCTAATAGCTGAATCCAGGACACTCATCAGTTGGATGTACCTGCGTCCCACTGAATTATTTAGTTCCGTGAAGAAAATTTCCTTTCTCGACGACATCATTTTCTTAACCTGTACAATCGTATTTATATATATCATAAACATATAACAGTAGTCTATCATAAAACAATAGGGTATAATTACATCACTGACCAAGTGCTACGAAAAAGCGAATCAAGAATGCAAAATAGTTGCGTAATAATCTAAGACAGTAGAAATATCGAGGAAGGCAAGGAGTTTGACAAGGTGAAAATTGTTGGTAGATAAGAAACACAAATATTGAGTGTCCACTTGATAGATGGATGGATGTAAAGAATGTGAAGAATGAGATAAGGGTCAGAATTTGAAGAGGACTCGGAATTCCATTTTCTCGATGTTTTATTGAAACCGAGATCAGATGGTTCTCTTCAGCGATCAATTCATAGGAAGCCTACTTATAACAGACAATATTTGGATTTCCACAGCTGGATGTCTGTCGGCAGAAAGAGGAATCTAATCCATTTTTTATCTTCAAGAATTAAAAGAATCTGCATGAGTGATACTATCAACGAAGAATTAGATAAACTATGAAAGATCCTCATGCAAAATGGATATCCATCCAGATTTATCGATGAGAACTTGAAAGTAAATCAGAATACGGAGCGAGTACTCACAGTTCCTAAGAAGACCTATTAATGAACGTTGTTTTCGAAGGCGATACGGCAGCAGAGATCCTGAAGAATCGGCTGTCTGGATCACTGAAGATGATATCCTTCTCTGCAAAACTGCAGATCAGCTTCTCTAGTCAACATCTCATTTCGGAGTGAGTTAAGGACAAGTTGCCACTTTGGGCCACTTCGATGTATGTCTACAAGTTTACTTGCTCCTGTGGAACTAGTTATATAGGCCGCACAAAGCGCACGCTTTCCAAACGTATCTCTGAGCACTATCCTGCATGGTTGTCGAGGGGAGAATGTAAATCAGTTAACAGTTTAATTCTTAAACATTTGGTCAACTGTTGACATAAAGCTAGACCAGAATCTTCCTTCAATGTCATTTATCGTGTCAGATGGAATATTTCAAAAGGAGTACGCCTTCGACAGTTGTTCACAGCGGAAGCACTGGTAATCCATCAATTCAAGCCTGATCTCTGCATGCAAAAGAAGTATGTTCAATCTCTCATCTTACCATGGTCTTAACACTTTCATTTTTTTCGATTTCATTATAATTAATTAGTTTATTATTATCACCTTCATTATAACCCTTGTCTCATTCTTCACCTTCTTTACACCTATCTATCAAGTGGACACTCAATATTTGTGTTTCTTATCTACCAACAATTTTCAACTTGTCAAACTCCTCGCATTCCTCGATATTTCTACTATCTTAGTTCATTACGCAACTATTTTGCATCCTTGATTCTGGTTGTTTTATCACTAGGTTAATGATGTAATTATACCCTATTGTTTTATGATAGACTACTGTTATATGTTTATGATATATATAAATACGATTGTACAGCTTTAGAAAATGATATCGTCGAAAAAGAAAATTTTCTTCGCTGAATTATCTCTTCTCTATGACTCAATGGGCATGTTTAGTAGTCATTTAGTTCCCATTGAAACTCGAACATCGTACGCATAGCTTCAAATGCCAACCTGTTATCCATTAGGTGAATGGGTCACGATAGCCAATCCTTGTGCGACTGGAATAGTACAATTTTGATGTTATGGCTTGTAGATCCGCATAATTGATTCAGATGAATTGACCATTTGGCTACCGTGAATTAGTAGGATGGTGAATAACACTCTGGCGGTTGAAGCGATGAATTCCTAAGTTCTAGTCTGTATGACAAAAGCATCATTCACTGAAAGGAAGGTACTTTCGGTTGATGAGTTCAAAACAGGACGGAACGCACGTCCTGGAATTCAATCAAATCACAACCTATTTATTTTCTAGGTTAATAGGCAGACAGCTGAAGTGGATAACTCATAGCTGTGTAGTAAATGATTTACACAAAAAGTAAAGAATACTTAAGAGATTACGTGAGATTACCTGAGTGTTGTTTCCCCTTTGATTCTATTTTTCTTGGAAGATGATGTTGATTTAGACATTCAGGTTTCTCATTGGACATAATCTTATGCTTCAAGTTAGTTGAATCTTGTTCAATTTTTAAAGTATCCTTAGGGGAATTAATGGGATCAGATTTCACCGAACACATAGTCTTTATATTTTTCCCCCTTACATCCAAAATCCTTAGAAATGATGAAATAATAAAAATAGAGGATAAACATTAACATAAGCGTAAAACTTGGGCACTGTAGTAGAATATTATTCCATATTAGATTTGTTTATTTGATGTAGCCAACACACAGTGGGATACAGTACTGTTTACTTGATGACCACGTTTCAAGCATAAACTACCATTCCTCATCATCATATCAATGTAATCACACTCCACTTTCGACATCTGATTTTTAAAGTCCAGTTACCTCAAATTATTTTTTATTGGTCGTAAAATGTTCCACATCTCTAGTATAAGTGTTACGTTATTCCTATTGCGTGTTGGTTGATTCGATGAACAAACATTCAGTAATCAATCCCACTCTCCACATAAATCTATTCTTGGACTTCAGTACAGTGGTTTGATCCCAACCACCCGATTGTGTATGGTTCTGTGTTAGTGCATGTATTGCAATAAACGAGTTCTTCTACCAGATTATTCATCCACGTGGAATGTCATTCTACATTTGGTTAGATTGTTATACTACAATGGTTCAACTGACTCCGATTCACTAGTTTGAACTATGTACTTGACGTGGCAGTCATTCTATGGAATTTTGTAGATTAGACCATTTTGCTGAATTGGTTCGATCAGATCCTTAAGCCAGCCGGCAAAGTTTATCTCTGAGTTAGTTTGTAGGTTTCAATGCCACACTAATTCGAGCTTTGTTGCGGATCCTACTTAGAGTTTCCGATGTACCTTCCTGATAGGGTAACAAAATGGACGTTGTGAACTCCTTTATACTCATGTTGTCATTATTATTCGTACTCGTGTGACTGTTATTTTTTCGTTTCTTCTCTGTCCGTACGAATTTCTTGATAAACTGTAGAGGATAATCATTCATTATTAGCCCTTCTTTCATGTGTTTCAATTCCTTGTTTAGATTTTTGCTTTGACTGGTCAGTTTTCTAGCCAAATCATTTAGACATTTGAATGAACCTACCTTAACTGACATTGGATGAGATGACTGGAAGTCTAGATATCTATTGGAATGTGTCGATTTCCTGTAGACGGTAGTGTCCAAACCATCCATGTGTGCTTCATTCTATCCTGAAATCGGACATTGGCAATTCTCCTAGTGTTCACATTCTACTCCATCGTCTACTGCTAAGTTTATATATGTCAGGAAATTGTCGATATGTTCCGATATCAACACAATAGTGAATTTGTCATCCATATATCACCACTATGTCTCAGGTGGAGGACTAAACATTTGTACAGCTATATTGTCCCAACTATCCATAAATATATCTACTACGATTGGAGATATTGGTGATCCCATTGCAACTCCTTCTCTCTGTGTATATGTGTTGTCCTGAAACTTGAAGACTGTGGAAGTCAGGCACAACTGTACGCTCAATATGATCTCATCAATCGATATCTTAGTTCTGAGAGTCAAAATTCAGTTGATTTCTGACTGCCTCCAGTACCATGCTGATTGATATTTAAGTCTAAAGACTTATTACATCGAAACTAACCACTTTTTCATCCTACTTATTGTGTAGGTCATTAAGCCTTAGTTTTAACTTGTAAGCATTTACTAGTCTGGAATTTGAAGGGTTCCTGATAGGAAATAATATCGATGCTAAGTACTTTGCTAGTTCATATATTGGGGTACGTCTAAAGTCGACTATAGGTCTAATGAAATAACCTGGTTTATGAACCTTAAAAAGTGTGATAAATTCTTCTAGGATCATTCGTTTTAGGCATTAAATTAAACTATTTAGACTAACGCAGAAATGGCTTCAGTCGGTTCATCAGATCAGCTGTAGATTTCCTTATTTTATTCATGATGGTGTCTTAAGGTTACTTGGTCTCTTCATATGGTCCTGTTGCATATGTTCATCAATTATGTTCAAATAATCCAATTTGCCTCTAACTACTGTTGAACTGCTACTATCAGACTTAGCAATCACTATATGATTGTCATTCCATAAATTATTCAGAGCTGATTTTTCATGTTTTGTTAAGTTTCGTCGCCTTTTCTTCAGTGTTAATGCACATTGTGCTCTAACCTGTTCAACAGTTGCTGCATCCACCAAGCTTAAAGCTACTTCTATGCTAGGTATGACATCTTTAGGTTTTAGATGACCTATTGTCACGTTGAAGTTAAGTTTCTTTCCGAGTACTTTTGTTTCACCTGAGGTTACGGTTCTCAAGGAGTGATTAACTGCTCACTTTATTCTATCGATGTTTTATGATGTTTCATTTGTAATTTGATTATCTTACGAAGGATATTTTTCTTGTATCAGTTTGTGGAACCTTTTGACTTAAGTGGTTCTGGATTTCTTGAAAGAAACCAATCTTGCTTCCAGTAAAATATCTACTTGGAAAAAAATTGATTTAAAGTATATGTAGCACTAAAACGTCACTTCAGAGGAACAACCAATGAGTTACTTAACGTCATTATGAAAGCCAGTCTTGGGAAATTTCTTCCAAACAGCATTAAAAATAATGGTTCGTCATTCAGATTACTTTACTTTTTGTTTGAAAATACATGAAATATTTCAATGAATTCCTTTCAGTTAACGCTTTAACCTTTTACAGTTACTGATTTCTAGAAACTGCTTAGATTACCTTATTGTCAGAGGAAAGCTATTGTACTGTGGTTGAGTATAATTTCATATTCCATTGTAAGATAATAGAATCAATTTGTAGGTCAGCTTGAGAATGATAAATGTTTAGTATTCGTAGAGTATCAAGGTTTGTCCTTGGTAGTTTAATCATTTCATATAGAAGTAAATGCTGATGGATTCGCCTACCATGATGATAAAACGTCGATTTCGAAACCACAAAACTCTCAGTACACTAAGCACTTCTCATCTAACTGTCCATCATTGATTTATATCCATAAAACACAGGCAATATCGAGACATCTGCGCAGGAGCCAATATGCCAGTAGAGACCGATCAATTCGGTCCAATAACCGACTGCATAAGAAAATTAATAACTCTAAAACTATACCCGTCGCATAAGAGACGGCTATCGTGGTTTGGTGGTCTGGTGGGTAACGTTCTGACGTTTAAAGCAATCGGTTTCGAGCTTAAATTTCAGTAGGTATAAATAACACTCTCTGGGGTGCAGGTGCTTCCACCTGAAGATGCGTGTCCTGGATTCCACTGCTAGCCACTATCCGTCATTATTACATTATTATTGTTTGTCCCATGAGTTCCTAGTGCAACATAAGGCTTCAGTAGCACGTCGCCATTCCACTATCTTCTCTGCAGTCTTCTTAACATGGATCCATGACAACCCACAAGCTTTCATTTCTTCCCTACACGATCTCAACCATGTCACCCACGGCTCCAACGCCCAACTCGTCGTTTCCCATCTGGGTTCCACTCCAGAACCTGGCACATGGTGTCTCCAAACTGTCTTCTCAGTATATGTTCAGTCCAATTTACCTCCACATTCTTCTACTGCATATTTGTTGAGTGGTGGGTTCTTGGTTGGTTCGTCAACAGTCACACTTCCTCCTTACTCATTCTTATTATTCTCGCCATCTTCACTGTGAGTATCGAGTGAGTGTAGGAGTCAGCTGTTGATGTGATGTATATGTGCAGTTTGTTGGGAATGCTTTTCGTAAGGCGCCAAGTCTCTCAACCACCATACAGAAGCACTGACTTACTTGACTGATATTAGTGTTGAAAATCCGTATGTTGTTCACACTTTAAGCTGAGTGGAGTGCAGTGCGGTGCAGTAGATCTCCACACTGATTATTTCAGATTAATGCAGGAAGGTCTACCTTGCTGCCTTTTCGATCCTGGCTTTGACATCCTCATATGCGCCTGTGTCGCCTGTAATTGAGACAATGCTGCCTAGGTCGGTAGGCAGGTGAAACAGACAACTTCCTTAGACTTTTCCCGTTGATGGTGAGTGGTGCCTGTTGTTGTTGTCGTTGCTTTTGTTATTAGCGGTGGTGGTTGGGTATCTCCACCACTTCTGTCTTCTCTACGTTAACCTGAAGGAAGTTTCGTCTTTCGTCGCTGTCTCACCTCTTCTGCCAACTTATTGCTTTTCGCCTGAAGATCTTTGAGTTTATGCGACATAAGACATTAGACATAAACCATCATCATCGGCGGTGAAATCCGAATCTTCTTGCAGGGTCTTTTCATCTGTCTAGTCAGTGTCTGCCAATCTTCTAGCTCCTCACAGTTCTCTATTGCATGATCCAGTTTAGTTCAGTCTGGTCGACCAGAATCAGGAAGATCATTGGTGATGATAGTACCAGGTAATCTTGTCTTACTCCTTCCTGTCTTCACTTCAGAGGCATCACTCAGCAGCTTTCCATTGTGGATCACTTGGCATGTAGCATCATATAGCATAGTATATAGCTGTTGAATGAGTGTGATAAAGGTTTGTGTTGAAGGAGCTTCCTGCCAAGTTACTTCTCCGTCGACGCTGTCGAAGGCCGGCCTTTTCAAAGTGGATGAAGTTGAAGTAGAGTTGAGTTGACTGGCATTCTATGCTTTGTTCTATGATGATTGCGTAGCGTAGCGTAGTGTTGAAATTTGATCAGCACGTGATTTGTACTTCCTGAAGCCAGCCAGCCAGCCAGCCTGTTCCTACAGAAATTTTGAATGCAGAGCAGTTTTATGTCTCTCAAAGATAATGCGGTAGAAGATTATGCTTGCTTGGGGTGGACAGGAGTGGAGTATGATCCCGCGTCGGTTCTTGCAGGGGATTAGGTTTCCTTTCTTTGGGAGTTTGACGATGTCACCCTCCCTCCACTCGGCTGGTACCTTTCCTTCCTTCCCTGCAAACCTTCTGCAGTATTGGTTCGGGCCTGTCCGCTGTTGTCTATGCGTCTGTTTTCAGAGCTTCTGGAGGATTCCGATGCGATCCTGTTGTTTTCCAGGCTTCCAGCGGCTTTATGGTGTTCAGGACTTCTGCTTCTGTTGGAGAGCTTGTGTTCACTGATAGTTCTGTGACTGGGCTGCTGAGATATTTCTGGAAGAGTTGCGGATAGTGGTGGTGGTCAGTTCAACAGTATTCTGAAGTGATCAGCCCATTGTTTTCCTTATTTTTCCTCTTTGGAGTTGACTAAGTTTCCTTCACTATCTTCCATCTGTGCTGTGTTGATCTCTTACCTTCCAGATAGCAACCTGGTTATTTGATATAATGTCGTCGGGTCTCCGTCTCTCCTACCTACAGCCTGTTCTGCTTCACTTGCCGGTGTGTCGTAGAAGTGTCTTTTGTTTTGTGCACACTTCTTCACTTCCTTGTCCAGTGTAGTGTTTTATCGGTTGTGTTCAGTTCCTCTTTTCGTTGTTCATCCTTGCAATGCACTGGTTCATCTTCTGCTCGACCATCTTCCTCTCCCTCCTCTATAAGCTTCTATTTGTCCATCCAGATCCATTCCTTGTCTTGTCCTGCCTCTTCTTCCTTCCTAACACGATTATGCAGGTTTCTTTCCATATAGCTTTCAGAGTTCCAGTGCTCTTCAGGGATGCTGCTTAATGCATCCCACTTTTTCCTGATGGCTTAAGTGAAGATGTCCTTTGTACTTTCGCTATTCAGTTTCTGTTCTGGGTGTTGAATTCGGACTGTGGCCTATCACCGAATCCTTTGAAGGCTTTCAACTTACTTTGAAGGTTATTTGCACTAGGTAGTGAGTTGTGTGAACCTACATCTCCTCCCCTTCTTGATCTGATCTTGTGTCCAGTAAGCTGCGTCTGCACTTTCTTCAGATTGAAATGAAGTTGATCTAATTTTCAGTGTGTCTTGGTGTTCGGTGAAATCTATGTCGCTTTGTGAACATCTTTGTGTTTGTACACACTGTTTCCAATCACCAGGTCGTGGAATGCGCAGAAATTTCCAAACGGTTCTCCATTCTCGTTCATTTCACCGAGTCCATCTAGACCCATGATCGGTTCTGTACCTGTGCTGCCAGCTGCCAGTTTGTCATTTAAGTATGTCACCCATCAGATTGAGTTTTGATGTGGCCAACTGGAGTGGTGTCTCGTCCATTACTGATTGCAGTTGTCTGTGGAATTCTTCCTTCTTCTCTTGATCTACATTATTGTCTATCATCAATAGATAAAATTATCACCGGAGATTGTTTATCTAACATAGCACATAATGATGCAGTACTACTTACTGAATGACGATGTTTCCAACAGGATTTATTGCTCATATTCATATCAATGTTAATTCGTTTCTTGTTCTCGCTTACCCTATGCGACGTTCCTGTGTGATCTTTTTTATATATTCGCTTTATACTACTTATTATTTTTGAGTAGTATAATTTGTTTCCTCATTATGTTTCATTCGCACGCTTGACTGTTCATTCTGTTCAGTCATTTTTTGTTTACCATTTGACATCCGTAGATATTAGTATCTTACACAGTTCATGGTGATATTGCAATTTATTTCGTTTTTCCATGATGTTCTATTTTACCTTGAACATTTATTTATCTTGCGCTTCACCTTATCGTGAAAAGTGACGTGCGTCTTTTATATTCCCTTTTAGAAGCTTGGACACAGTTTTGGTGTTTCTTACTGTTGATGCACTCCACATAAAGTGCTTTGGCAGCGATAAACCCCTAGGTACTTAGCAATTCGAGTCTTTATTAGTCTTATTACTCAATATTACTGATGCTGAGAAGTCGCTTGTTCGCTTTGGTTAAGAATTTCTCGGAAAGAAATTCCCAAATGTAATCATACACTTCGACTTATCAATTCTATAGTCTAATGGTTCTTCACTCTTTTGTTTTAATAGTAGTAAAATTTCCAAGATATTTGAAGTCATTCCTGTTCCATGTACGTGTTAAATGTTGATCCAATGAACAAAGATTCTGTTACCAATCTCTTTCCATCTATCTATATTCAATTTCAGAATTTCCATACGTTATTTGTGGAGATTCAGTGATTTTTACAAGTTGGTATTCATCATGAATTGACATCAGATGGAGAAATATTGGAAACCTAAGAACACTGAACATCCACCTCACCCTAAACTGGGACTCCTCAGCGTCGAACACCCATGACCCCGACTGGTCAGGGATCGAATGCACGACCTTCAGGTTCCGTGGCCAGCGCGTCACCATTGAGCCACTGAACGGAGTCACGGCGGTCCACATTTCCAACTTCTATCAGTTCACGGTGTAGCGTAACTATTATTCAGTGTTATCGTTGAGTGTTTGTCCGCACAGCCAGCAGGTTTGCTTCACCGGTCATGACTTTTCACTGGAACTTCAGGAATCACCTCTAGAAGCTAGTCACCAATGAGAAATAGATCATGGGTCACGTGTGCACACTGCTGAGGAGTCCCATACTTGTACGAAACAGCTGTCCAGTGCTCCTAGGTTTCCACTGTTTCTCCAACTCTTGTCAATGCATGATGAATACCAACTCAGCAGTATCACATATAAAGAGGGCACATTGGAAATTTTAAGTAGAATCCACCAACTCATTCAGCGTAAAGCCTTGCAGACTCACACTGGCTGCCTAATCAGGACTTCTCATCGTAATCCAAATGTAACTGAATTAGAGAGGGGGAGCATCATATTGATTATCACTTTCACTATATGAGACTAAAGTTTGAATAAAAATCTGGTCAGCATTCGGATATCGTAACTCAGTTGTTAGATCATCGAACCCGGATACCGAATGACTGGTGGTTCGAATCCGGCCGCAGTCCAAATTTTCATTGAACTTTCAATCATCACCCAGTATAAATTGACTTCAATCATGTGTCATAGTTTTGTGAATAAAAATGAACTTACTCATTGTTTTGATTTCCTTGATTATCACTGATTAGTAAGTTATTCATTTGAGGGTTTGGATTCGGAGTATACGGAAATTCTTGGCCAATAGAATCAATAATTGTATGTTTTCTCATTGAAATTGATTTTATTAATGGTACAGTACGAAATTTATTGTTTGCCAAGTTTAAATATTGTAATCTGAAAGAAATGAAAATAGATTTCAAGTTATTATTCATCGTAGACTGGCATCAGTTGGGGGAACATTGGAAACCTAGGAGCACCGTACAGCTGTAGCGTCCCAGTACGGGACTTCTCAGAGGTGCGCACCCACAACCCCACCAGCCAGAAATCTAACTCGTGACCTTCAGGTTCGGCGGCCAGCACATCACCAACGAGCCACTGGCTCACAATCCAATCGTCCATATTTCTAACTCCTGTTAGCTCACAATATAGCGCAACCGACACCCAATGTCATCGTTGAGTAACTCTCCTCACGACCATCTGGCTTTGCCCCCACCGGTCGCGACTTCTCATTGCAACTTCGGGAATACTTCTCGAAGTTGGTCACCAATGAGCACTAGTTCAATTGAATCTCGATGGAGTTGTGGAGATTTGGAAATATTTCAAGTTGTTATTCATCGTAGACTGACATCAGTTAAAGGAACAATGGAAACCTGGTAGTACTGGACAGTGCTATATCGTGAGCTAACAGAAGTTGGAAATATGGAGGATTAGATTGTGACCCAGTGGCTCAATGGTAACGCGCTGGCCAAGGAACCTGAAGGTCGCGGGTTGGGTCGCTGGCGGGGTCGTGGGTGCGCACTCCTGAGGAGTTCCATACTAGGACGAAACAGATGTCCAGTGCCCCCAGATTTCCATTTTTCCTCCAACTGATGTCAGTCTACGATGAATAACAACTTGAAATATTTCCATATCTCCACAACTCCATCAAAATTCAATTGAAAATAGATTTTTCTAAAAATTATTTAAATAATCCTTGTAATTTTCCGTTGATTTTGACACTAAACTGGATAAATCGGTCACTCTTGGTAAATGGTGCCGTTTGAAGAGATGTCTAAATATTGCTTCAAGGTTTTATTTAGATGATATTTTCCTAGTGATGGCTAACAGTGGAATCCAGGAGGTACATTTTGTCAACTGGGTGTATATGCACCTCAGTGAGTGGTGGTGTTCCCACTGAATGATCCTGGAAACAAATACTCTTCATCAGAGTGTTATTCAACCGGTTACTAGTTATGTCATTCATTATTGCTCATATATCAGGAAAGAATGACCAGTTCAAGCCAGTATATTGCTAAATAGAAAATTACAAAAATTAGTAAACAACAAATGACACCCTTTGTACAATAGGTGGGTTGTGTATTCCAGTCTAAATGGGAACAATATCACCTAATAAGAGGCAGGGAGATGTAGTTGATGATCCCCAAATAGGAAGGAATGTCTATCCTGGATTCCACTACTAGCCACTGTCCATCAATAATACCAAAGTAAAAATACATGCAATTGATGACGGAATAATACAAGGAATATCATGAATTCATAGTATCCTATAAAATGTGTCATGATTTCTGATTGAAATGTTAGCATGCCCATTACAGTTGACTAAGGGCTATGAAAAAGCTTCTGGACAGTGGTAGTTCCAGGTTCAAAAGACTGCAGAGAACAGAATGCAATAGAGACGTGCTACTGCAGCTCTATATTCCACTAGGAACCCAAGGGAGAAATAATAATCATAATAATAGATGTTATGATCGGTAGTATGACCTAACAGTCTAGCAAATTGCGAACGATGCAAACCTAACATGGAAACAAATCGACTCTAACGTAAATCAGATCGTCAACCACCAAAACAATAATACCACTGACGTGCGAATACAAGAGAAGAAAACAGACCGTTGACAGAGGGCTTTTTATTTCTAAATGACCTTGACAACTTTAAATCCACATATGGGTAAAAAATAGTTGGTAACGAATGAGAGTCCAGCCTTGATAACAGAGGGAAGAAAACCTAGTAACGATGTGAAAACAGTCATATAGGTTATTGTAAGGTCATGGGCAGAACAGTAGGCAAAAGGTATGCAAAATCAGTGGTATACAGCACTTAGGTTCATAACTCAATCAATCTATTAGGCTATCTTACCTAGTACCCTTCGCCTGACCTCAACATTGTCCACACGATGATCCAGCCAAACGTGATCAGTGCTACGAAGAAAAATGTGATCAAAACTTTCTAATCGCTTCATATCTTCTACCTTTAACAGCCATATCTCATAGCCGTATAAGAGGGCAGAAAGGACTGCAGTGGAGCAGTTTACTCATTCTTTGATAGGTAACTGGATATGTCGCCAGTGTCACTGGCACCACTAGCTTTGAACTGTTCTCAATCTACACGAAAGATAAGCAGCTCAAGTGATGTTGTGGAGTAAGGTACATCAGCTGCGGCTAGACCATGCTTTCTGCACGTATACAACAGCATGTTCCAGCTTCGTCTGGTTAAGGCGAAAGAAAGGTTGCTAAAAGTTCGATTCCAGAATATTTGGTCGATTTCTATCACTCAATAAACTCAAATAATGAATTTAACATTGTTTATTAAATTCACCATGATCTTCACCATGTTTTCTTTGTTTTCAACTAAAACCTAATGTCGTTGATTGGACCAAATTGATCAGTCTCTGTTAGCATATGGGCTCCTGTGTGGATGCCTCGATATTGCCTGTGTTTTAATTATGTATAGTAATGATGAGTAGTGGTTAGCAATGGAATTCAGGATGCGCATTTAGTCCTATTCCTGGACTCGTCAGCTAGATGTACCTACCTCCCAGTGAGTGAAGTTGTTCCCACGCTCATCTGCTAACAGAGACTGATCAATTCGGTCTAATCAACGACCGTATAATACAAGCAATAACCCTAAAACTATACCCGTCGCACAAGAAGTGGATATTGTGGCTAGGTGGAGTTTGAAGCGATCGCTTCTGAGTGCGAGTCCCGGTGAGAAAGACATCACTCACTGGGAGGCAGGTACATCCAACTGACAAGTCCCAAATAGGATGAAGTACGCATCCTGGATTCCCCTGCTCATCATTACTACAAAAGAAGTATGTACAGTCACTGTTTATATCACGGCTGTCACACTTGCCTATCGCCACTAGTTTTCCTCCCTTTGATAAATTAGCCTTGATATCCTCTCATTTATCATTATCATTGTTATTATTGCCTTCTATCCAAATCGTTCCCAGTGTTGTTTCACTGGATCGTCTTAATTTTCTTCAAAAAAAACATTGATTCCACTACAACTAACTTGTGTAATCCTATTGCATAATACTTCATTTGTTTACCACTTACATCAATTTTATAAACCTTTTCGAATTATACAGATTCTATAAAAAAAAATTGTCTATGTGAATTTGACTATCTGTGATTTAGCAGACTTGCATTACTGGTATTGGTTGGTGATTAAAGGTGATGAAATGAAAGCCTGAATCATAACAAGATTCGAATTATCGACCTTCAAGCTATCTACCCCTCACTCTACCAACTGAATTATGAAACCAAGCAGTTGGTTAGATGTTGGTTTCATTTCAGTCATCAAGGGTTTTGCCTAAATGTCATGTCAATTCGTGAAGCATTACTGTCCGTTCACTGTATTCCCACTGATTGCCCAGTTATAACTTTTCATCTCATCTCATTCCAAATCCTATATTTGTTATCATTCGTACTTTGACTGAAATTATGATTGTCAGTAACTTTTCACATCTGTGAGATGATGAGAATACCTAACCAACAACAAGTAGCGATCACCGTCAGCGATAGAAACCTCTTTCACCTACCTAGGCAGCATCTTTTCAACCATACGTGGTTCAAATGAGGACGTCAAAGACAGAATCGGAAAGACAGCAAGATAGTCCATCCTGCATTAATCTGAAATAATCAGTGTGGAGATCTACTCTACTGAACTGCACTCCATTCAGCATAAAATGTGAACAACATACGGATTTTCAACACTAATATCAGTCAAGTAAGTCAGTGCTTCTATGTGATGGTTGAGAGACTTGGCGCCTTACGAAAAGTATTCCCAACACACTACAGACATACATCAACAGATGCCGCCTACACTCACTCGATACTGACAGTGAAGATGGCCAGAAACAATAAGCAGTAAGAAACTCTGAGAACGAATCAACCAAGAACCTATCACTCAACAAATATGCAGGAGAAGAAGAACCAAGAAGGCGGTTTGATGACATCATGTATCAGGCCAGGCAGTAGAGTGGAATCCGAAGGGGGGAACGACGAGTTAGACGTCGGTGTCTAGGGTGACATGGAGGAGACGGTGTGAGGAAGAAATGAAAGCAGTTGTGGGTAGTCGTAGAGCTAGGTTGAAAAGACTGCAGAGAAGAGAGTGAAGTGGTGATATGGTACTGAAGCCGTATGTTCCACTGGGAACCTAAGGGACAAACAATAATAATAATTCAACATATATATATATATATATATATATATATATATATATATATATATATATATATATATATATATATATATATAAGAATGTACAATTTGAGGGGAAAAAAACCCTGCAAAGATTCTCTCCAATGAATATCTCGTTCTTTCTATACTATTCAACAAACTCTAAGCTAAAAAAAACTTTATCAACATTTGTATTATCTTAATAGGAAAGATTATTATAACATTGTAAGCGTATAATTCAAGTGAATATTTCCTCGCCTGTAGTATTCACTTACTTTGGAAGAGTAGCTAAACTTACAAAATCTTGTACATCTGACAGTTTATTATCATCAAGATGTAAAACTTCTAATTTCGCAAATTTAAACACAATATTTCTGGAAAATAACAATATAAAAGAAAGAAAACTAGATCATTGATAAGAAATACAACAACCTACTAAAAGAATAATCGATAAATGATGTAGAAACATTAAGTTTCTAAAAAAAAGGTATACGGCCTTATAATCCCCATTTTTCTCTCTTCGAACATAAATGGTCTTCGAATTGAACTGATGTACCAACAGAAATTGCTTCTGTCCAATTGATGGTTATTCATAGGTCAGATGGATGGTCTTGGTTGTATTGTGTTCTCTGAGCTTGGCTGCTCAATCGTGAAGCTTTCATCCTCTTTCTGGACAACATCATCATCAGCAGTAACTTCAGTATGAATTCAGCTTTCAATATTTCTTGTTGGGTGTTCCTCTACTTGACCTCCCACCTTTCTACTGTTTATCATTTTTCTTACTGATTGATAGATTGGGTCTATTGATAGCTAAGTGATTGACCTAAATGACAAGCTTCTAAGAATTCTCTCATATTCTTTGTGTTCCCTCTATCAATCCAACATTTCTACATTGTCAAAATTGAATTCATGTCCATAATCATCCACATGCATTGAAGTGAATGATGAAATGTCATGTGTGACGTTTAATAGCCAATTGGTGTTCATGTAAGTGACAAAGGCGAAGAGGGCGACCTCTTTGTCCAATGCAGTGTTGACTACAGTTAGTTATTGCAGTTGACTTTGTAAATGATATTTGGTTTGTCTTCTTTGGTTGTTGAATCCTTTGGTCTGTATAATAGGGTTTGAAGGGGGATTTTTTGGTTTATGAGCCACACTAATTCCATCCAGTGGTTTCCGTAATCTTGTTGTGATTTCTGATATATTCTTCATGTACAGTAAGATGACCCCTTTACCGATTTCTGTGAATGACTTTCTAGTTGATGGTTTACAAGATAGGCATCTTCTGACAAATTTTCGTGGGTGACCGTTCTTCTTTAGAATAGACATCAAGTAATTTTCTTTGTTTCTTGGTGACATTGTTGTACTGCAGTGTGTTCTCACTCTTTTGAATACAGCTCGCAGGCAACTAATTTTGTGCGTTGCTCGGTTGATGTAACTGTAGTTGAGGATTTGATAAGTGTGTCTTGACTTCCTGTACATTTGGATTCCCAACTTTCCGGCAATTTCCCTACTGACTAAAACATCTAGCTCAGAGAACACAATAAAACCATGATTGTTATTCATTCTGTAGTCATATAAACTGAAGGCTATCTCATTGTATAAAGACAAGATTCTGTTTAGATTTTATTACATCAGATACACTAACAGTTACATTGATTGATCACTGGACAGTAACCAACTTCATGTTGTCTAGTCCTAAGTGGTGATCGAATTCTGTGTTGATCATTTTGCTATGTGATCACCAGGATAGGAGACTCATTATCACTGAAGATGTACAAAAGGGAGATGTTACTTGGATGCAGGCGATCAGCAAGAAGTCCTGCTATACGTATGTTTCGTGATTATAGGCACTGGTCATCAATGCGTATCTGCAACCTTGAGGGAACTGATGTTTCACCGGAGATCTAAATTCTCGTCAACCAGTGCTGCAGTCATACACGTTACCACTGAGTTACAGTTAAAATGGTGCATCACTGAGACTGTCTAAGATAGCTGGGTTTTGACAGATTGATACCATTAATACTGAGTGATGATTGAAGGTAACTTGATAACCTAGGTCATGACAGGATTGGAAACATCGGCTTTCAAATTTCGTTCACAACTTCACACTGAATTAAACATAGTAGACATATGTATTTTTGAGATGAATGGGGATTTTTTAATTTAGAAGCAGTATTCATCATGGACTGACATCAGTTGGGGAATCATTGAAGATCCTGGAGCACTGGTCAGCTGTTTCTTCCTAGTATGGGACTCCTCAGTAGTACGCACCCACGACCCGGCTATGGATCGAACTCAGCACCTTCAGGTTTCACGGCGAACGCTTCAACCATTCGGCCACTGGGTCGGTTTCCAGTGGTTCACAATTTCCAACTTCTGTCAATTCACAACATAACGCGACTGTACCCCAGGTCTTCAGTTAGCATCCACTTCACTTCCGACTGGTTGACCCCACAGGTCACGACTTCTCATTAGAGCTTTGTGATATCCATCTGGAAGCAAGTCACTAATGAGCACTATAGAGTAATGTATTTTTGAGATGAATGGGGATTTTTAATTTAGAAGTAGTATTCATCGTGGACTGACATCAGTTGGGGAACCATTGAAAATCTTGGAGCACTGAACAGCTGTTTCGTCCTAGTACGGGACTCTTCAGCAGTACGACCCCTAGCCGGGTCGTGGGTGCGTAATGGTTCCCCAACTGATGTCAGTCCATGATGAATCCTACTTCTATAGTGTAAATATGTTATCTTCTTCAAAAGGTTCATTCATACCAGCATTCAGATTATATAAATACAATTATCTTTTTAATTACAAAGGCCAATAATTCTGTCAAGTTTCAGCGAAAGTATATCTCATAAGAAAATAACTTTACTGAATAAAACTCATTATTCAAGAGATCCATATGGCCGGCACACAGTATGATACAGTATCATTTACTTGATGACCACGTTTCAAGCATAAATTATCATTCCTCATAATCATATCAATGTAATCACACTCCACTTTCGAGATCTAATCTTCATACTCCTGTCACCTGGTATTCTTTGTTTTTATTGGCAATGAAATTTTCCATATCTCTAGTTTAGGCATTGCGTCATTCTTATTACATGTACTGGGTTAGGTGTTGATTCATTGAACAAACATTCAGTAATCAATCCCACTCTCCACATAAATCTATTCTTGGACTTCAGTACAGTGGTTTGATCCCAACCACCCGATTGTGTGTTTGTGTGTTAATGCATGTATTGCAATAACCGAGCTCTTCTACTAGATTATTCATCCACGTGGAATGTCATTCTACATTTGGTTAGATTGTTATACTACAATGGTTCAACTGACTCCGATTCACTAGTTTGATCTATGTACTTGACGTCGCAGTCATTCTATGGAATTTTGTAGATTAGATTATTTTGATTGATTAGTTCGATCAGATGCCTAAGCCTATGAAGCTTATCTCTGAGTCAGTTTGCAAGTTTAAATGCCACCCTTATTCCAGCTTTGTTGCGGATCCTACTTAGAGTTTCCGATGTACCTTCCTGATAGGGTAACACAATGTAGGCTATGAATTCCTTTGTACTCATGTTGTCGTTGTTATTCGTACTCGTGTTACTGTTATCTTTTCATTTCTCATGTGTTCGTGCAAATTTCTTAATAAACTGTAGAGGATAATTATTCATTATTAGCGCTTATTTGATGTGCTTCAGTTCCTTGTTTATGTCCATGCACTGACTAGTCAGTTTTCGAGCTTCACCAATTAGACTTCTAACTAAACCTGAGTTAACTGACATTGGATGAGATTACCCGAGGTCTAGATAATTGTCGGAATATGTCGATTTCCTGTAGACGGTAGTATCCAAGCCACCATCTCTCCTTCATTCTATCCTGAAATCCCACATGGGTAATTCTCCCCATGTTCATTTTCTACCTCTTGTCTACAAGTGAGTTTATATCTGTGTGAGTAAATTATCGATATGTTCCAATTTCAACACAGGAAATGTGTCATCCATACATCGTCACCATATATTAGGTGGAGGATTAAATATCTCTAAAGCCATGTTTTCCCAGTTATCCATAAATATATCTGCCTGAATTGGTGATATTAGCCATCCCATTGCTACTCCTGTTTGTCTGCATATTTTGTCCTGAAACCTAAACACTATGGAGATGAGACATGACTGTACGACCAATGTGATCTCATCAACCGATATATTAGTTCAGTGAGTAATTTCTGAGTCACTATGTAGTTGATTTCTGACTGCCTTCAGTGCCATATTGATTGGTATTTTAGTATAAAGACTTGTTATATCAAAAATAACCATTTTTACATCCTCTTCTATACGTAGGTCATTAATCCTTAGTTTCAAATAGTGAGAGTTTAATAATTTGGGATTCAAACGGTTCCTAACAGGATACAATATCGATGTTAAGTACTTTGCCAGTTCATATATGGTGGTATCTCTGAAATCAACTATGGGTTTAATGGGTCAACCTGGTTTATGAACCGTAATAGGCATTAAACTGAACCACATAGACTCACCTAGAGAAGACTTTAATTGGTTTATTAGATCATTTGTAGATTTCTTAATTTCACTCATATATATAGGGGAATAAAGTGAAATTAAGTGACACAGATGCTTTATGCTCTATCCAGAGATACTTCGTCCACAACTCCATTGGTTCAAGCTGTCACACTTCAAAGTACCATGCATGTAATAAATGTATTCAAAATGACTGATATATCAAAGTAGATAAAGGTGTATAAGAGGAGAAACTATTTGGAGATTAAGGCTGATGAAAACGTTCAAACTTTCGAAGACATCAAAGAGTGAATACATCCATACCACTTTGACTAATTTTCAGCCCTTTCATCAAGTCTCCAAATATTGATTCCTATGGTCTCTGGGACCCAAGCTAGGAAGTTTATACCTCCCTTCACGGCGTAGGCCAACAGTAAGCGGTTTCCTGCAGTGGTATCACATCTTGTTTTAGCCACCCTGAACCTTATTCTAGCTTAATCCAACTTCCTCTACCATGGTACGTCAAATAGGCTATGTCCAAACCCCCTCAGTCGACTAAGGTTCACAACTTCACCAATCGACTTGCCTATCTCACCTAGTACCCTTCGCTTAACTTCTACATCGTTCATATGGTAATTCCACATACGTGAGCAATGCTATGAAGATATATGTGTCCAAAAAGTTGTAATCTTTTCATATTTCCTACTTTTAACGGTGATGTCTCATATCAGTGAAACAAAAGGAATGGGCTGCAGCCCAGCACAGTCGCCCTTTAATGACACTATCTAAAACAGTGATATTCTGCTAGATGTTCGACAGATTTTACCCTCCATGACTTAAGGTAGACATTAGAACACTTTTAAGTGAAATAGTTTCCTAACTTATGTGTTTATATCTATCAAGGATTTTTAGCGTCTCACTTACAGATGGATAACAGTGGTTATAAGGTAATAAGTGAAGATTCTTGAATCATAAATCAATAATCGCTGTGAAAGGAAGTATTTTTTACAAACTGTTGGGGTCATAATTAATTGTTTGGCGCTTCATTTCCCGGTTCGAACAAAGCCGAATTTATCAAGATTTGGGCAGTTAGGAAGTGTCATCAGCTCTCACACTGAGGGTATGGTTCATTGTCTCATGTTAGAATGTACTTCTGGTTTCTGAGTGAATTTAATTCTTTCTTGAGTGGTTATAATATTTATTTATTTACTTATTTATTTGATATCATATCTGCATTGTGTCAATTTTGCGTTCACTAAAACCTAAGTAAATCTCATTTTTCATCGAGGAAGGTTCTATTGGTAGAAATGTTAGAGGGTTTAAGAAATTGGAATGATATTTGGACCACGTCTTCTACAATTACACTAGCAACAGTATATGTTGGTTTGTTTAGCTTCAAATATTTTTATTATCTTGAAAGACATTCTGGTATTAATTGACAAAAATACTTCGTAATACTGTTTTATAACTTACCCATCACTAGCTGAACCAGATTCTGCAAGGTCTAACGGTAGACGAAGAAGATCATTTCCACAGAGATAAAGAATTCGTAGAGATGGCAAGTAGCCAAGATGTTCAATATCCACAGGTTGAAGGAAATTGTACGATAAGTTAAGACTCTACAAAACATTTTGTCAAAACTTGCTTTTTCCCAAATATTATGGAATATGTTGAAAGGTGTCACTGTTTTTGTAATTAGGATAAAAATATAACGAATAAAGATTGACTATCAGATCTTCTCTTAGAAGTCAGTACAGAGTGGAGTACTAGAACATACAGCCCTTCATCCCCCACTATTTATCCTGTACATAAATGAACTGTTAAACACTAGGAAATTTCCAGTGGTTCTCCACGCTGATGATGTAAGCAGATGGTGGAAGCTAAGGAATGACGATGATGTATGCTCACTATAGACAGATCTTAAAAGTTTGTTACCTTTCTCAGAAAAATGGCTGATGCCAGTGAGCGCGGGCAAGTGAGTGACTATGAACACATTGTAAGCAGATGGCAGCCCCCGTGACATTTTTGCGATTTCGCTAACCTGAGTATTGACTTATGATGACCTAAGAATAACAGTCACTCATGATTCAAAGAACACAACAAACTCACAACTGACTGTAGCCAGGAGTTTTTGGGTACTTTGAGTAATATGCAGAGTTGTTACAAAGCTCACAAGCGATGCGTTTACCATACTATATACAACTTTAGTTGGATCCAAACCACAAAACTATGGATAAGTGGCAAGTCACTGTTTAATGGGCAACTCAGACCTTCTGCAAATAGTTCAGAGGACGACCACTCAAATGAATCCTAAGATACCCAGCCTTACCTATGAGGAATGACTTCGGGAGCTGAAACTCTTTTCTTTGTCGTATGTCAGACAGATGGAAGATCTAATCATGCTGTACAAGATTTTAAGAAATGACTTTGAACCTGATATATGTACTCTTTTCCTCCTAATTAGGTTAGGATATCTCGGAGGACATAGCAGGAGAGTAAAAATTTCAGGGACGGACGTCTCCCCCAAGAAGCACCTAATTTTTATATAGAAAAACTGACTTTCAGAACGAATTCTCAGGCGAAGAGTTGTCATCATCATCAATTGACTTATTCATCGGAGGAGTGGATATGTGCAAAGACTTGATGAAAAAGATTATTGTGGGCCAATAGCCCTATGTCTTCAGACTAAAAGTGCTGATCTAAATCTACAGCTATACGTAGATTTTTACTTCTTATTGTATTATTTCTTATGTATGAAAGAGTACTGAATACTAACTTCAACTTTTAAGAGAATATGTTAGCAAGCGATTGGCGTTAAGATTCAAGGTAAATTCCCCAGTTTTTCACTCATAATGAAAATTACAGTCTACAGGTTACTTTAATTGCCACAGAAACACACCATATCTTTGAATTTTCCATTGGGTTAGAACCATTCAATACAGTTGATGTTTACTGAATAACTCCAAAAATGTCATCCGGTAGATACTAATCTCTTTGGTTATATTATACATGACACATAATAAGATACTAATGTTAGCGATTTCAAAATTATTCATATCTTTCTTTGACTTCTCTCTATTATGAAATATGCTCTGATACAGGATTTTAACGGTATCATATGTATTGATACTATTCAGGGGTTTCCTTTGCTAGATCTTGTGCTAACCTTATGGGGTGGATGACATATTCAACCTAAATATTCTACTTTTACTGGCAGATAATGACCACGTGATGCTTTCGTTTGAGCTCAGATTTTGCGGTATGGTCAATGACGTTTTCCAACCACATTTGAATGTCTGGTGGGTGGATGTAAAAACTGTATCAGGATATGTTCCATTGGTAGTCTGGTCAATTAAATGGACCTTGTGCATTGATGATGCATAGTGTAAGCTTTAGAAGGAACTTAAAACTGCTGCCTACTCCCATACACCTTAGCCATTCCTGCAAAATCCCACTAACTGTCCATCGTGGATAACTAGGCAGGCTATAAAGGCACTTTATCACAGGGAACAACTGAGGAACCTCTTTGTCATAATGGATTCTCGTTGGCTTGGGCTACAGTATTATCCGGTCAAGCACTTCTTAAAAACCTGATTAGAAAGTCTAGTTTAATATACGAGAAGGAGTTCGTTCAAGATTCCAAGTACTATCCTAAGAGGTCATGGAAGAACTAAGAGGAACGGAGGAATTCTAGCCCTGGTTCGAAATGAGGATACATAGTACTTAGCTGATGATAATAGTATAACTACGTCTGAGGCTGTATAATGATACTTTAGCGAAGTGTTCTCTGAAGATCATAGTTAGTGTCAGGAAATTACTTTCGCTGGTGAAATTCCACGAATAAAGCCAATGTTCATTGAAATCATCTTAAAACTCCTCGAGAGCCTCAAAATGGTGAGTTCCTGTGGTCCAGATGAGCCACACTCACGCATAGTTTCAATACTGAGATATATTAAACCAAATCGCTATCCTGTCTACTGAGTATCGAGATTATTCAGGGATTGGGAGAGTGCCACCATCATTCCAGTCTATAAGACTGATCACAAGCATTTGATGGCTAATACTTTCCCGGTAAATCTCACTAGCTTCGTAGCTAACCTTTTGGAAACATAATCCGAAGTGCCATTTCATGAAAGGCCAATGGAATTTGGTTTTTAGCTATGGAACAGCGTGTGTTGATGGTAGGCCACTAAAACCCAGCAAACGATATCACCGTAAGAGAGGATTTAGCTTCTGTCAGTGATATGATATTTATAGATATTTATAGACTTCGCGGAGACTTTCTGTAAAGTCTTTCACATAAGCCTAAAACACGAGCTGGAAATCTTTCAGGTCGATAACGTAGTTAGAGAGAGGACCAGAGAATTTACTTGTGATAAAAGGCAAAGAGTGGGGGGAAAATGGAGTTTTATCTCAATGTAGATAAACAACTAGTGCAGTTCCTTAAGGTACCAACTTAGGTAAATTTATCTTCTTGCTCTATGTGAGGGAGTGGTGCGGAAAAACTAGGCTCTCCATCTTTGTGTTGCATGAGACGTTAAACTCTAAAGGTATATTTACCGTAGTGAGTACAGACTGCCCCTACAAGACGACCTGAATACACAACCAGATTGGTCCATAAATAAGTATCTAGAAGTTAATAACACCAAAAAGGTAGATATGCTAGTAAGTCACGACAATCCACATTACTACTTGATTAACGAAATGGTATTACCCAAAGTAGCTGAATGCAAAGATTTAGTTATCACAGTTAGCCATGAACTTAAAACACCAGTTAAATGTAGATTAAGAGTTATCAATGGCTCTTGAATCTTCCAGTTCTTACGAAAATCTTTCCAGAGCTTTGAGAAAAACATGTTTTGGGTCTTATGACTGATGTGTGTAAGATCCTATTTCAAGTTTTGCATTCACGCTGTGAGCTCAAATTTTAAATATGAAGGTAGCATATTAGAGCAGTTCTAGAAAGCGGAAACGGAAAAGATCAAACTATTTTCGAACCTATTCCATGAAGAAAGGCTTGATCTATTAGGTCTTTTCCAACGTGTCACCACAGTGTGAGGTCTAATCTCATTATAGTGTATCATGTCTTGAATAATGATTTACCTTCAAACTTATTGATTCCTCACCCCTAGAAATGTTCATGTCAGGGGATTTCAAACAAATGAAGCACTTTGAAGCCGTAATTAGCCACGACCTGAAAAAGTCTACACACTGCATTGAAGCTGCAGGGAGAAGGTTTTGGTATTTTTGTCTCTTTGAAGAGCAGTCAGATAATTTAATGAAGAAAAACTTTGGATATCACTTACCACGTTAGTACGGCCCCATTTCGAATGATGTGCTCAGTTGGCTACTTCTTGCTTCGTAAAAGGTGCTCAGTACTGGATTGCATCAAAAGACTCAACAACAAGTTAGAAATCAGTCTGTCCAACCTATGCTGTGAGGACCATTTATGATGACTAAATATTTTCCCATTGTCTTGTCTCCGAAGAAGGAGGGACCCAATATTAGCATTCTATCTCCAATACTGGCCTTAGGATTGTTACATCTTATTTTTACTCCTCCTAATGGATTGACAGTCTTCAAGGTAACCATAAAAACGTGAAAACCACAACTAAATCCATTTAGAATTATCTTACGCTACCCCATACAGTGGTCAATGACTGGAACACCTTACCCAAGCAAGTGCAGCTGATCAACGTCCTGGGTGAACGCACTCATGAAAAAGCTAGGTCTTCACAAAGAAGCTTACTTTGCAGACTAAAAAAGGCCAAGTTGACCTACTGTTTTTATTAGTGAAACCTGTAAACCTAATCTAAGTCAAGATCAAATAATCTACGTCTAAAAATATATCCCTCGCAGAGAATTGTGGACCAATGGAATTCCCCACCAGAAGACAAAGCTTACTCGCTGTATGTTGATAGTTTCGTATTACTACCAGCAGCAAAGATTTAGATAAAACTGAAACCGACTTACAGATAAGCTAAATGGGTTTTTTCAGAAAACATAGGCCCTTTAGTTAACATTTTGCAGCATAACAACACAACTACTAAAATAAGAACCCATCAAATTTGTAAAAGCATACGCAATAAAAATAAGCTTACTTGTAAACATTGGAAACCCTTGGGACAAGGAGGAACGCAACTAACTTGATTTAACGAAAGATCCAGCTCAATTAGATTGTTGAAGTGTTTAAATAATTCTTTATTAATAGTAAATGCATTCATAAAAATCATGAAGCCTACCAAGCGACAATGTATTGTCCGCAGCAACTATTTTCTTTAGCGAGGAAAAACTTGAACTGAGGTCATCGTCGACACCTTCCAAACCTAAACGTGTGACGTCAACTTCAAAAAGGCATGAAGGATCTTCAACACCCCCACATTTCAACTAGTAAGATTAGATTAGTTCAATAATGCGACATACAAGTATTTCCTTGGTTAAAGTCAAACAGAGTGAATCTGAACTAGGAGAAATATCAGATAACGAATATCGTCGATGTATACTAGGTTCTGCTGGCTTCGAATTCCTATCTTCAAGCAGCTGTGATGAAAGTGAAGCGAAGACATCAGTGTTAGTTTTTCTTTTCCAGGCTCCACCTACAGTTTCTGTAAAATTATTCATCATAAGTTAACCTTTATTTTTTGTCAGTGGATTAGGTGGTAAGTATCCATTCATCTTTTTCTTCCCATCGGTACACCTTTAAACTAAGTGACCATATGATAATTTACGAAAACAATGTGACACAAATAGTGAACTCAAGACATCTCAAGAATTTGCCCAAACGCGTTGCCGTTGCTACAGCTTGTATAACGTCTGACCCACTAAATAGCTATTTAAAACAAGTGTAATAATTATATATGTGTGACTAGAGGAGACCAGTCACCTTTGAAATTTCTCTTCTTGCTCTCCAGCTTTGTGTTTTTGCTTAATATTGTGTTCTTCTGGATGATGTAGGGTTTTTTACTTCCCTGCTGTCGGCTTCAGGGAGAAAAACTTCAAAATTTATCGTAGTTTGTTTCACTTTTCGATTCCAGTTTTCTGGCCTAGGAGTAGTCAGCCCAATAGCCTGCATTAATTCGGGCACTATAAATTCCAGTGAATTTTCACGTTCTCCTTAGAAGCGTTCATTGAAGAAGAAACAAACATTAATGTCCGGTAATGGGTTCTGGTCATTGAACAACTCACAACAGAATCAGATTCTCGGACACTTGCACATATTTTGATGAACTCTTAGACAGCCGGCCCTAAAACATATCAAGTCGTCAGGAAGGTCAGCACGTAAATCGTTATTCAATATGTAATAAGTCAATATAAGGTCATTTTCCCTACGATATGGTAACGGGAAAGGACTTGTTCGTTGCGACTGCTTTTTATTTGGGAAGCTGGAGAGCATTACCACTTCATTAGCGCTTAACCTTTCTGCTCGTCTGGGAATATCTTCTTGGAAAAAGACTGTGTGGAGTATTCGAGAAGAGATCCACGTAAGTTGGGCGTAGTCGCCCAAATATTTCTTCATCCGAAAACTCGGAGGCCGTGCGAAGTGATTGTAACGTGCAATATGTCTTGGTTGCGGCCGCGTTATCGTGTAAGGTTGTTCTCAAGTTACGGGAGATAGTAAATAAATGAATGAATATTTTATTCTCACATTACTGATTTAACACGAGAGAAGGCAGTTTACAGGCATCATCACACAGGTGTATGTCGAAAAATCCACAATATTTTGCTGGCCCTGATTGAGACGATGGGGAGGTCGTTAAACTATTAAAAACACAAGATCGCCGGTATGAGACGAAGAAGAAAATTCCACCTTACGGTGGAGCGCCAAAGTGAGGACAGTAAGAATTCTTATTCCCAAAAAATAGGTTTAACATGAGTGATACCAGTTTACAAGCCCCATCAAATTGGTAATTCTTGAAAGTCCATGGGATAGAATTTGATCCACATATCAGGTTATTGATGTGCATACCTCTGTTAAAACCTGCTACAACTTATGAGGCTGACATGAACTTCCATCTGCCATTACACAGATGGGTTCCACTATTGGGGACAAAAGCGAGTGACGTTCGGAATTTGTGTTATAACCAGCCGAAGTTGTTAGCCCATCTGCATACTTTGCTATTCAGTAATATGACCGTCCATTCCTCAGAAAATTCTTCGGTTTTTAGCCGTTGCAATCACAGAGGACATGTAGCGTCACACACTTCCCCAAAAGCAATAGCCTAGGGTTCAACGACACTCAACATTGATGCTGATCTTAATAGTTTAACTGGACTCACTGAGCTGAAGGCACCCGGTCAAGCATCCTCGCCATTCGGCACGCAGTCATGTTACGTTGCACTGCTCGCAATCGACTCCCTAGCCAGTTACTTGGAACGCATCGGTATTTTGGCACAACCACCCAAATATACTATTCCATCCGACTACGCTACCGTGTTCTTCCTTGGTCTCGTATTCGTGGGTATATAACAATTCCGAACAATCAGTGACTGGTTTTCGCGTCTATTAAGTTCGCACCAGGACAAATCCTAAATGGGTGAGCCCGACGTGATCACATATTCCGACCAATAACAAATATTGAATTGGTGAGCCTGTTCCATTTTTTATTTGTTTATTGTTTTCATTTCGATAACATTTATATATCCATTTACTACACTTTCTCGTGTCTGACCACACTCCCAAGCTTATTCCTATTAAGCCGACTGCGAACACAATCCAACTCGTGCCATACTGGCCAGACAGTGCAGAAACATGGTTTCTGTATGCTGAGGCAGATTTTCGAGAACAGGGCGTCTCAGGTTCTCAGTCTCGATTTCTTGCTGTCATACGTTCATTACCGCGGGAATTAAATAGACATGTTACGCACACATGTTTGATCTTGAAGTGATCTTTATGCACTTCTTAAGGCCGCACTCTTGAAGAAAAGCGATCTCACGGATCGCCAGCGTCTAGACGAATTACTTCGTAACATCGAGCTGGGCAGCCACTCAGCTAGTGAAGTCCTCGCATGCATGCGAGAAGTAATCGGTGCACGAATATTCGACGATGGCTTCTTCCGAGAACTATTTCTCCCAAAACTACCACAACCGGTGCAGACCGTGTTGGTGACGCTGCAGTCAGTCCCACTCGATGACCTGGCAGCCTCAGCAGATAAAATACTGGAGATTTCCAGCAGACCCATCTCCAACGTATATCCTGTCTACGGCAAACCAGAGCGTCAGGATTCAGAGGTGACGAAGCTGTACAACTCTGTTAAACAGTTGCTACAATCTCGAAGTCCTAGATCACGTAGCACTTCACAGAAACGCAGCTTGGCGCATCGCAGCAACTCGCGTGGTAGCCCTAAAACTAAACCTAACAAGGTGGAAGACCCTGAATGGTGCTGGTTTCATAACACTTACGGAGATGAAGCCAGAAAATGTCGTAAACCATGCCGTTTTAAGAAGGACACAAACCCGGGAAACGGCCAAGCCGGCACGTGTTCACGGCAACCGTAGCCGGCGGAAACAGCCGTTTGCTCAACGTCATGGATATTAAAACGAAAGTCCGCTACCTCATCGACACTGGCGCAGAAGTTAGCGTCTTTCCAGCACCGACAAAGGGGCGTCATCATGACCCAGCCTTCAATCTTCAAGCAGCCAACGGCAAGGCAATCGCGACATTCGGGAGACAACATGCTTACCTCAACTTAGGTTTACGTAAACCTATCCACTGGATCTTCCTCCCTGCTGAGGTTTCTATGCCCATCATTGGCATAGATTTACTAAACCATTACGGTTTACTCGTAGATGCTCGCCGTCGACGACTGATAGATAGCAACACAAAGTTATCGACTGGCAGCACCACTTACGCAGGTCCGAGTTTAGCCCTCGTTAGAACCAAACAATGAGGCGACTCGTCCTATCAGGCAGTTTCGGAGAAATATCCAGGGTTACAACAACCGAAGCATACTCTTCCGTGCATAACCAGCAATCTTATGCACCACATCACAACCGCAGGTCCACTCGTAACATCCAAAGCTCGGCGTCCAGCCCCTGATGGGCTAAAAATGGCGAGGGGTGAATTGGAACTGAGCATTATCGAACCGTCATACGGTCCTTGGGCACCATCATTGCACATGGTCCCCCAAAAGGGTAGCAACGACTGGCGTCCAACCGGTGATTACTGAAGGCTTAACGCCAAAACAACACCGGACTGCTACCCGATACCTCACGTTTACGATTTGACTGCAACCTTATGCGGAATCAACATTTTCTCAAAAATCGATCTGGTCAAAGCGTACAACCAGATACCTATGGCAGCAAAAGACGGCGCGAAAACAGCCATTATTACTCACTTTGGCCTGTTTGAAATCCTGCGCATGCCATTTGGTCTTCGGAATGCAGCACAAACATTCCAACGCTTTATGGATGATGTCTTCCGTGGTTTGAATTTTGTTCATGTCTACAGCGATGACTGTCTAATTGCGAGTCCAGATAAGGAAACTCACCTTAAACATTTGGACCTCGCATTCGAAAGACTTAAAAAACATGGCATCACAGTCAACTTACAGAAGTGTGAAATAGGAGTTGAATCACTCAGCTTCCTTGGGCATATCATTGACAACAAAGGTATACGCCCATTGAGAGATAAAGTGGCGGCTATCACAAACTATCCAGAGCCGACCACTGTGAAACATCTCCGCACTTTCAATGGCCTGGTAAGTTATTACCGAAGGTTTGTCCCCAACTGTGCCCCTGTCATGAGATCACTAACAGATCTACTTCAAGGAACTACGAAGTTCGTGTCTCTGGACAACGCGGCTAGACTTGCTTTCTCTAAAGTCAAGGAAGCCATTTCGAACGCAACCATGCTTATGCATCATGACCCCAATGCTCCTCTGAGTATTGCTGTTGATGCATCTGATTCAGCAATTGGAGCAGTTCTCAAACGATTAACTGACAACCAGTGGCAGCCGTTAGCCTTCTTCTCAAGGAGGCTGCAAGACGCGGAAACAAGATACAGTACACTTGGTAGGGAACTCCTAGCTATGTACTGTTCTGTACGCCATTTTCGACATTCGGTGGAAGGTCGTGATTTCATTATTTTCACAGACCACAAACCGTTAACGTTTTCCCTCAGCTCGGCGTCTGACAAATACTCTCCGCGTGAGTCGCGACAGCTGGATTACATTTCCCAGTTCACGTCAGACATCCGCCACATTCCTGGAGCAAATAACTCCACAGTAAACGCACTATCACGAATAGCTTCGATAAACCATATTGAAGGCATTGATCTCGTTGAACTAGCTCGGCGTCAAAAGGAAGACCTTGAGCTGCATCATGAGTTGTCGTCCACAACTCTCAAGCTACAACTGTGTCCAGTTGGATCAGACAGGGATACAATTTTGTGCGATGTCTCTGCTAGTCAACCACGCCCAATAGTTCCGAAGAGTTGTCGACGCAATGTCTTCAATACGTTGCACAAACTCTCTCACCCAGGTGTACGAGCCACCATTAGGCTTATCGCACAACGTTTCTGCTGGCCTGGGATGAACACAGACGTTGGGTGGGCTCAGTCGTGCTAAGCTTGTCAAAAGTGTAAAGTCACGCGACACACAAAAAGCCCTTTAGGCTCTTTTCTAACCTCAGACATGCATTTCGACCACGTCCATATAGATATTGTAGGACCCCTACCAGAGTCTAATGGATGTACCTACCTTTTCACTTGTGTTGATCGTTTCACACGACGGCCGGAAGCAGTACCTATTAAGGATATTACTGCCGAAACAGTAGCTCGTGTTTTTGTCGGAAGATGGATCGCTAATTTGAGTGTGGATTATTTCGCACTCCGACTGCACTTTCAGGTTACACTCGGTTCCGAACGACAGCCTACCATCCACAAGCTGCGAACATACATCAGTGGACCGAGGCTCTGCCTCTAGTCCCAACAAGTATTTGTAACACGTTGAAAGTTGGTGCTGGCTGCACCCCGCACAACTCGTCTGTAGGACCACTCTTCGCCCACCAGGTGAATTTGTCTCTCCTCCAACTTTCACACGTTTTTGAGGGAACATCTTACACGACTAGGCTTACAAACGCAGTGCGTTCAGTCAAGCCTCCTCCGGTTAGACCTCAAGCGACTGATGTCTTCGTTCACCCCAGTTCACAAAAGACATCACACGTGTTTGTTCGCCGCGACGCCGTTCGTCGACCACTTGAACCACCCCACGACGGGCCGTTCAAAGTGATTAAGCGACACGAAAAATTCTATATAATTGAGCGAGACGGACGTGAAGATACTGTTAGTATCGACCGTTTGAAACCAGCTTATTTCGAAGGTAACCCCATTATAAGTGACGTCTCAGCTCGCTACATCCGACCGACGGATAGCTCAATTATTGAAATTCTTGACGATGCGCCTGGTAATGTACAGTCACGACAACCATCGGGGCAACAGAAAACACGATCAGGTCGAACCGTCAGGTTCCTGAAGTATTTGAAGTCGTATTCAACTTAGTGGTGTGAAGTAAGATATGCCAACCGTACTTTTTTAATTCAACATCTTTTCGGGGCACCATTTCTAGTATTTGCTGGCAATGTGAAAATCCTCGTACACTTTGCCTTTTCATATCAATTTTTTTACTGCTGCCACATATTGAAACATTTAAAAAAATGGAAAATAGGCGTAAACTTTATTCCGATATACTCGTATATAGATAATTCCTGTTGTCACGAAACAATTGTATGGTCCTAAAGACTTTTATTTATATTCCAGGTGCAGCGAGCACTGGACGGAACGTCAGAGGAAACCGAGGACCGCGATCGACGTACAATTCGGTTTCTCGTATTTCATTTTTCACTTGCCACGACACCCTAGAATAAGTTCTGACAACTAGAGGCCACTTCACTCGGTCAGCCCATCGAAAGAGTCTTACCAGTGGAGAAGCCGCTGAGTTTTTACCTCCGGCTGGTACCGTCTCAGGGTCCTCACGAACCCACTACGGGGGTTGGTCTGTAGCGTCACACACTTCCCCAAAAGCAATAGCCTAGGGTTCAACGACACTCAACATTGATGCTGATCTTAATAGTTTAACTGGACTCACTGAGCTGAAGGCACCCGGTCAAGCATCCTCGCCATTCGGCACGCAGTCATGTTACGTTGCACTGCTCGCAATCGACTCACTAGCTTCGTAGCTAACCTTTTGGAAACATAATCCGAAGTGCCATTTCATGACAGGCCAATGGAATTCGGTTTTTAGCTATGGAGCAGCGTGTGTTGATGGTAGGCCACTAAAACCCAGCAAACGATATCACCGTAAGAGAGGATTTAGCTTCTGTCAGTGATATGATATTTATAGATATTTATAGACTTCGCGGAGACTTTCTGTAAAGTCTTTCACATAAGCCTAAAACACGAGCTGGAAATCTTTCAGGTCGATAACGTAGTTAGAGAGAGGACCAGAGAATTTACTTGTGATAAAAGGCAAAGAGTGGGGGGAAAATGGAGTTTTATCTCAATGTAGATAAACAACTAGTGCAGTTCCTTAAGGTACCAACTTAGGTAAATTTATCTTCTTGCTCTATGTGAGGGAGTGGTGCGGAAAAACTAGGCTCTCCATCTTTGTGTTGCATGAGACGTTAAACTCTAAAGGTATATTTACCGTAGTGAGTACAGACTGCCCCTACAAGACGACCTGAATACACAACCAGATTGGTCCATAAATAAGTATCTAGAAGTTAATAACACCAAAAAGGTAGATATGCTAGTAAGTCACGACAATCCACATTACTACTTGATTAACGAAATGGTATTACCCAAAGTAGCTGAATGCAAAGATTTAGTTATCACAGTTAGCCATGAACTTAAAACACCAGTTAAATGTAGATTAAGAGTTATCAATGGCTCTTGAATCTTCCAGTTCTTACGAAAATCTTTCCAGAGCTTTGAGAAAAACATGTTTTGGGTCTTATGACTGATGTGTGTAAGATCCTATTTCAAGTTTTGCATTCACGCTGTGAGCTCAAATTTTAAATATGAAGGTAGCATATTAGAGCAGTTCTAGAAAGCGGAAACGGAAAAGATCAAACTATTTTCGAACCTATTCCATGAAGAAAGGCTTGATCTATTAGGTCTTTTCCAACGTGTCACCACAGTGTGAGGTCTAATCTCATTATAGTGTATCATGTCTTGAATAATGATTTACCTTCAAACTTATTGATTCCTCACCCCTAGAAATGTTCATGTCAGGGGATTTCAAACAAATGAAGCACTTTGAAGCCGTAATTAGCCACGACCTGAAAAAGTCTACACACTGCATTGAAGCTGCAGGGAGAAGGTTTTGGTATTTTTGTCTCTTTGAAGAGCAGTCAGATAATTTAATGAAGAAAAACTTTGGATATCACTTACCACGTTAGTACGGCCCCATTTCGAATGATGTGCTCAGTTGGCTACTTCTTGCTTCGTAAAAGGTGCTCAGTACTGGATTGCATCAAAAGACTCAACAACAAGTTAGAAATCAGTCTGTCCAACCTATGCTGTGAGGACCATTTATGATGACTAAATATTTTCCCATTGTCTTGTCTCCGAAGAAGGAGGGACCCAATATTAGCATTCTATCTCCAATACTGGCCTTAGGATTGTTACATCTTATTTTTACTCCTCCTAATGGATTGACAGTCTTCAAGGTAACCATAAAAACGTGAAAACCACAACTAAATCCATTTAGAATTATCCTACGCTACCCCATACAGTGGTCAATGACTGGAACACCTTACCCAAGCAAGTGCAGCTGATCAACGTCCTGGGTGAACGCACTCATGAAAAAGCTAGGTCTTCACAAAGAAGCTTACTTTGCAGACTAAAAAAGGCCAAGTTGACCTACTGTTTTTATTAGTGAAACCTGTAAACCTAATCTAAGTCAAGATCAAATAATCTACGTCTAAAAATATATCCCTCGCAGAGAATTGTGGACCAATGGAATTCCCCACCAGAAGACAAAGCTTACTCGCTGTATGTTGATAGTTTCGTATTACTACCAGCAGCAAAGATTTAGATAAAACTGAAACCGACTTACAGATAAGCTAAATGGGTTTTTTCAGAAAACATAGGCCCTTTAGTTAACATTTTGCAGCATAACAACACAACTACTAAAATAAGAACCCATCAAATTTGTAAAAGCATACGCAATAAAAATAAGCTTACTTGTAAACATTGGAAACCCTTGGGACAAGGAGGAACGCAACTAACTTGATTTAACGAAAGATCCAGCTCAATTAGATTGTTGAAGTGTTTAAATAATTCTTTATTAGTAGTAAATGCATTCATAAAAATCATGAAGCCTACCAAGCGACAATGTATTGTCCGCAGCAACTATTTTCTTTAGCGAGGAAAAACTTGAACTGAGGTCATCGTCGACACCTTCCAAACCTAAACGTGTGACGTCAACTTCAAAAAGGCATGAAGGATCTTCAACACCCCCACATTTCAACTAGTAAGATTAGATTAGTTCAATAATGCGACATACAAGTATTTCCTTGGTTAAAGTCAAACAGAGTGAATCTGAACTAGGAGAAATATCAGATAACGAATATCGTCGATGTATACTAGGTTCTGCTGGCTTCGAATTCCTATCTTCAAGCAGCTGTGATGAAAGTGAAGCGAAGACATCAGTGTTAGTTTTTCTTTTCCAGGCTCCACCTACAGTTTCTGTAAAATTATTCATCATAAGTTAACCTTTATTTTTTGTCAGTGGATTAGGTGGTAAGTATCCATTCATCTTTTTCTTCCCATCGGTACACCTTTAAACTAAGTGACCATATGATAATTTACGAAAACAATGTGACACAAATAGTGAACTCAAGACATCTCAAGAATTTGCCCAAACGCGTTGCCGTTGCTACAGCTTGTATAACGTCTGACCCACTAAATAGCTATTTAAAACAAGTGTAATAATTATATATGTGTGACTAGAGGAGACCAGTCACCTTTGAAATTTCTCTTCTTGCTCTCCAGCTTTGTGTTTTTGCTTAATATTGTGTTCTTCTGGATGATGTAGGGTTTTTTACTTCCCTGCTGTCGGCTTCAGGGAGAAAAACTTCAAAATTTATCGTAGTTTGTTTCACTTTTCGATTCCAGTTTTCTGGCCTAGGAGTAGTCAGCCCAATAGCCTGCATTAATTCGGGCACTATAAATTCCAGTGAATTTTCACGTTCTCCTTAGAAGCGTTCATTGAAGAAGAAACAAACATTAATGTCCGGTAATGGGTTCTGGTCATTGAACAACTCACAACAGAATCAGATTCTCGGACACTTGCACATATTTTGATGAACTCTTAGACAGCCGGCCCTAAAACATATCAAGTCGTCAGGAAGGTCAGCACGTAAATCGTTATTCAATATGTAATAAGTCAATATAAGGTCATTTTCCCTACGATATGGTAACGGGAAAGGACTTGTTCGTTGCGACTGCTTTTTATTTGGGAAGCTGGAGAGCATTACCACTTCATTAGCGCTTAACCTTTCTGCTCGTCTGGGAATATCTTCTTGGAAAAAGACTGTGTGGAGTATTCGAGAAGAGATCCACGTAAGTTGGGCGTAGTCGCCCAAATATTTCTTCATCCGAAAACTCGGAGGCCGTGCGAAGTGATTGTAACGTGCAATATGTCTTGGTTGCGGCCGCGTTATCGTGTAAGGTTGTTCTCAAGTTACGGGAGATAGTAAATAAATGAATGAATATTTTATTCTCACATTACTGATTTAACACGAGAGAAGGCAGTTTACAGGCATCATCACACAGGTGTATGTCGAAAAATCCACAATATTTTGCTGGCCCTGATTGAGACGATGGGGAGGTCGTTAAACTATTAAAAACACAAGATCGCCGGTATGAGACGAAGAAGAAAATTCCACCTTACGGTGGAGCGCCAAAGTGAGGACAGTAAGAATTCTTATTCCCAAAAAATAGGTTTAACATGAGTGATACCAGTTTACAAGCCCCATCAAATTGGTAATTCTTGAAAGTCCATGGGATAGAATTTGATCCACATATCAGGTTATTGATGTGCATACCTCTGTTAAAACCTGCTACAACTTATGAGGCTGACATGAACTTCCATCTGCCATTACACAGATGGGTTCCACTATTGGGGACAAAAGCGAGTGACGTTCGGAATTTGTGTTATAACCAGCCGAAGTTGTTAGCCCATCTGCATACTTTGCTATTCAGTAATATGACCGTCCATTCCTCAGAAAATTCTTCGGTTTTTAGCCGTTGCAATCACAGAGGACATGTAGCGTCACACACTTCCCCAAAAGCAATAGCCTAGGGTTCAACGACACTCAACATTGATGCTGATCTTAATAGTTTAACTGGACTCACTGAGCTGAAGGCACCCGGTCAAGCATCCTCGCCATTCGGCACGCAGTCATGTTACGTTGCACTGCTCGCAATCGACTCCCTAGCCAGTTACTTGGAACGCATCGGTATTTTGGCACAACCACCCAAATATACTATTCCATCCGACTACGCTACCGTGTTCTTCCTTGGTCTCGTATTCGTGGGTATATAACAATTCCGAACAATCAGTGACTGGTTTTCGCGTCTATTAAGTTCGCACCAGGACAAATCCTAAATGGGTGAGCCCGACGTGATCACATATTCCGACCAATAACAAATATTGAATTGGTGAGCCTGTTCCATTTTTTATTTGTTTATTGTTTTCATTTCGATAACATTTATATATCCATTTACTACACTTTCTCGTGTCTGACCACACTCCCAAGCTTATTCCTATTAAGCCGACTGCGAACACAATCCAACTCGTGCCATACTGGCCAGACAGTGCAGAAACATGGTTTCTGTATGCTGAGGCAGATTTTCGAGAACAGGGCGTCTCAGGTTCTCAGTCTCGATTTCTTGCTGTCATACGTTCATTACCGCGGGAATTAAATAGACATGTTACGCACACATGTTTGATCTTGAAGTGATCTTTATGCACTTCTTAAGGCCGCACTCTTGAAGAAAAGCGATCTCACGGATCGCCAGCGTCTAGACGAATTACTTCGTAACATCGAGCTGGGCAGCCACTCAGCTAGTGAAGTCCTCGCATGCATGCGAGAAGTAATCGGTGCACGAATATTCGACGATGGCTTCTTCCGAGAACTATTTCTCCCAAAACTACCACAACCGGTGCAGACCGTGTTGGTGACGCTGCAGTCAGTCCCACTCGATGACCTGGCAGCCTCAGCAGATAAAATACTGGAGATTTCCAGCAGACCCATCTCCAACGTATATCCTGTCTACGGCAAACCAGAGCGTCAGGATTCAGAGGTGACGAAGCTGTACAACTCTGTTAAACAGTTGCTACAATCTCGAAGTCCTAGATCACGTAGCACTTCACAGAAACGCAGCTTGGCGCATCGCAGCAACTCGCGTGGTAGCCCTAAAACTAAACCTAACAAGGTGGAAGACCCTGAATGGTGCTGGTTTCATAACACTTACGGAGATGAAGCCAGAAAATGTCGTAAACCATGCCGTTTTAAGAAGGACACAAACCCGGGAAACGGCCAAGCCGGCACGTGTTCACGGCAACCGTAGCCGGCGGAAACAGCCGTTTGCTCAACGTCATGGATATTAAAACGAAAGTCCGCTACCTCATCGACACTGGCGCAGAAGTTAGCGTCTTTCCAGCACCGACAAAGGGGCGTCATCATGACCCAGCCTTCAATCTTCAAGCAGCCAACGGCAAGGCAATCGCGACATTCGGGAGACAACATGCTTACCTCAACTTAGGTTTACGTAAACCTATCCACTGGATCTTCCTCCCTGCTGAGGTTTCTATGCCCATCATTGGCATAGATTTACTAAACCATTACGGTTTACTCGTAGATGCTCGCCGTCGACGACTGATAGATAGCAACACAAAGTTATCGACTGGCAGCACCACTTACGCAGGTCCGAGTTTAGCCCTCGTTAGAACCAAACAATGAGGCGACTCGTCCTATCAGGCAGTTTCGGAGAAATATCCAGGGTTACAACAACCGAAGCATACTCTTCCGTGCATAACCAGCAATCTTATGCACCACATCACAACCGCAGGTCCACTCGTAACATCCAAAGCTCGGCGTCCAGCCCCTGATGGGCTAAAAATGGCGAGGGGTGAATTGGAACTGAGCATTATCGAACCGTCATACGGTCCTTGGGCACCATCATTGCACATGGTCCCCCAAAAGGGTAGCAACGACTGGCGTCCAACCGGTGATTACTGAAGGCTTAACGCCAAAACAACACCGGACTGCTACCCGATACCTCACGTTTACGATTTGACTGCAACCTTATGCGGAATCAACATTTTCTCAAAATCGATCTGGTCAAAGCGTACAACCAGATACCTATGGCAGCAAAAGACGGCGCGAAAACAGCCATTATTACTCCCTTTGGCCTGTTTGAATTCCTGCGCATGCCATTTGGTCTTCGGAATGCAGCACAAACATTCCAACGCTTTATGGATGATGTCTTCCATGGTTTGAATTTTGTTCATGTCTACAGCGATGACTGTCTAATTGCGAGTCCAGATAAGGAAACTCACCTTAAACATTTGGACCTCGCATTCGAAAGACTTAAAAAACATGGCATCACAGTCAACTTACAGAAGTGTGAAATAGGAGTTGAATCACTCAGCTTCCTTGGGCACATCATTGACAACAAAGGTATACGCCCATTGAGAGATAAAGTGGCGGCTATCACAAACTATCCAGAGCCGACCACTGTGAAACATCTCCGCACTTTCAATGGCCTGGTAAGTTATTACCGAAGGTTTGTCCCTAACTGTGCCTCTGTCATGAGACCACTAACAGATCTACTTCGAGGAACTACGAAGTTCGTGTCTCTGGACAACGCGGCTAGACTTGCTTTCTCTAAAGTCAAGGAAGCCATTTCGAACGCAACCATGCTTATGCATCATGACCCCAATGCTCCTCTGAGTATTGCTGTTGATGCATCTGATTCAGCAATTGGAGCAGTTTTCAAACGATTGACTGACAACCAGTGGCAACCGTTAGCCTTCTTCTCAAGGCGGCTGCAAGACGCGGAAACAAGATACAGTACATTTGGTAGGGAACTCCTAGCCATGTACTGTTCTGTACGCCATTTTCGACATTCGGTGGAAGGTCGTGATTTCATTATTTTCACAGACCACAAACCGTTAAAGTTTTCCCTCAGCTCGGCGTCTGACAAATACTCTCCGCGTGAGTCGCGACAGCTGGATTACATTTCCCAGTTCACGTCAGACATCCGCCACATTTCTGGAGCAAATAACTCCACAGTAAACGCACTATCTCGAATAGCTTCGATAAACCATATCGAGGGCATTGATCTCGTTGAACTAGCTCGGCGTCAAAAGGAAGACCTTGAGCTGCATCATGAGTTGTCGTCCACAACTCTCAAGCTACAACTGTGTCCTGTTGGATCAGACAGGGATACAATTTTGTGCGATGTCTCTGCTAGTCAACCACGCCCAATAGTTCCGAAGAGTTGTCGACGCAACGTCTTCAATACGTTGCACAAACTCTCTCATCCAGGTGTACGAGCCACCATTAGGCTTATCACACAACGTTTCTGCTGGCCTGGGATGAACACAGACGTTGGGTGGGCTCAGTCGTGCTAAGCTTGTCAAAAGTGTAAAGTCACGCGACACACAAAAAGCCCTTTAGGCTCTTTTCTAACCTC